CAAGCTCTAAGACCTAGAACCGTCCGTTACCTGAAAAATAATAGTGAGTCAGGCCCACGAATAAGTTCTATCCTAACTACAATCCAAACAGAGACCCGATACGCAGATACATCCTAGATGTCTCAACCATATCTATATAGTCCATAAATAGATAAATAAATATCCACACTACAGGACTCTCACTAACTATGTTGAGGGTCTCAACCTGAATAGAAGGTAACATGCAATACGCACCTGAGTGGGCATGACTACCTAAGCCTAACAGGGTATACCTCAACCAACGTAGCTAGCTCCCTAACCGTCGACTATGAGACTCAAGCTCAAATCGCGGTACCATAATTTATATATATAAATTCCCATCCAAACCAATGTAGTGCCGCTCAACTGATTCGTTGCCATGACACGACATAAAATTAGGATTTAAGTGTTTTAATTAAATCCCTACTCCAATTATATATATAAGTTCCTTCCAAATACAATGTTGAGCCGGTCAACTATTCGTTGCCAAAACACAACATATAATTAGGATTTAAATATTTTAATTAAATCCCTATCCTTCCTATTAACAGAAAATATAAACAACCATCCAATATGTCGTTCAACTATTTTAGTTGAGAGGACATGAAACCATATAGGATTTAACTGTTTTAGTTAATCCATTTCGTATGTATGAATGGGTTGGAATTAGTGTTTTGATCTAATCCGTCCCTCCGTATGTCACCGTCCCATACCGGTACATACCATGCATATGATCCGTAAATGATGCAACATTTTATGCAGTACATCAAACACATCCATATAATCCAAATAGATAATAAACATAATTTAAATAGTTCATCATCTATAATCCAGAATCCATCCATGTAACTAACAAAACAAGATTTAATAGTTCATCAAGTTAATTATCCAGCATCCATCCAAGTAATTGAAAAAAATATACACAATTAATTCTTCAATTAATTCCAGACCAACCTCCAGTTAGGTTAACGAAACCTAAGTACTAATTTAGCAATTTAAGTCCAAACCCTAATCCCAATAATTGTTGTGTAGTGCTTAATATTACAGCAGTTACAACTCCAAGCTTAATTCCATGTATCGCAGTACAGAATTAATATTTCCAACAATTAACATCCAAGGTATGCATAGATCAAACATGATATATAATGACCCTAGCATGCAACCAAAAATAAGATTTATGAATATATATATAATCCGTTAAATTGCTAAAAAGTAAATTAGACAATTAAACCCCTTCCATCCGTTAACAGCCGGCACCGCTATATACTTTCCTATGATTAACTCCAAGAGTGCAAAGCTATTAATTTATTTAATGTGGCTCTAGTATAGCCTAATATCATGTTTAGAGTCCATCCTACAATCCGTTAAATCTTTAAAACAAGGTTTAACAATTTAGTCTTTTCTATCCGTTAACAGCGTAGAAAGTTTAATAATTTTGTATTGTTTGTCCCATTGACTTAGAGGTCAACTTTAATCAATTTAAGGTCTTAATAACACCCAAAAATCAACTTCCTAATTCCTCTGTGAAATCCCAGAACCATCAGAACAATTCCCATGCTCAAGCAATAACCACAGTTCGTAAAAAAAAAAAAAAAAATGTCAGAATGTCTAATTTGAAGGGAGCCTGCTCCAAAAACTTTTGGAGCAGGCTCAAAGTGTTTGGAGCCTACTCCAAAATAATTTGGAGCAGCCTCCAAAAAGGGGGGAGCCGCCTCCAAATTTCTGGAGCCGGCTCTCTCCTCCTTTGAGCCACTGCTTCGCTTCTTTCTTCGTTTTGCACTATCTGTTCATCTCCGGCCTCTTCCTACCCTTCTGTTCTTCCTTAAGACTAACTTTAACAATCTAATATTCATACATTGTCATCCCGGTACTTGGTTTACAATAGTAAGTACCACAACAACAATTAAAACCATAACAGTTTCATACTTTAAAACTAACAACGAAGAACAGAGATGCGAGGAAAATTTCAGACATATTGTAAACATATACATATGATTATTTTGGCATATGATAGGCATGCAAAAACTCAATTAATATTTAATTAACACCCTATAGACCATCTAAGAGTGCACAAAACACAGGCCAAGGGGAGAGAGACAGAATAGAACTTGCCTTAACCGTCTCTGAATTTTCCGATGAAATCTCCGACGACCGTTCCACCTCTGTTACTCTTGGTTTTACCCACAAGTCAACCTCTGCTCCTCCTCCTCCTTGGTTCAGCCCTAGCCTAAGGCAAAACCCTAGACTTTCTCCTTTTATCTCTCTCTGTAATTCTCCCTGTAACTCTCTGTTACTCTCTCTGTTTTTCTCTCTATCAACACTATACGTATATAGGGTTCTCAACCCTTTTTGAAGACATACTACCGTATATATATATAGGCACTAATCAAAACCCTAAGCCTAATCTTAATCCACCATAGAAAACCTAATTGAGGCCCAGTTTAGTCGGCGTGAGATAGTAAGAGACTAAACCCTATTTTTCATTACAACTAAGAATATTCCATTAATCCAATTAATTCCATTCAAAAACCAATAAAACATTTACACAATTAAAAACTATTTAATTTGATTAAAGAAAACAAAAATACAAAGAAATAATCAGACAAGTCAATTAAATAACAATTTATCAATTAAATCAAATAAAAATACAAGTAAAGAAAACAATCTATTTAAATCCACAAATCAATTCAAACAACCCGTCATTCAAATTCCACACATAGCCACATAAGCACTTAAAAATAATAAAATAAATACTGAAAACAATAAAATAAATAATAAAATTTCGATTATATCCCTTTCAAAACTAGGGGTATTACAGCGTTCGATCTGATGCTTGAACCTCTTCCCCAGTTTGTTAGTCGACTCGTGTGTGTGTGTGTGTGTGTGTGTGTGTGTGTGTATCTACATATATATATAATTTGTAAAATTACATATTTTAGTGTTTTAATATAATTCTTTAAGCTAAATAGTTGTTTTGAATGGAAGGAAGCCTGCTGGAGACGATGGGTCTTCTCCAATCTTCCCTTCCCTCTCTGCACCGGCAAACAAAGATAAAGAAGAAAAAGGGGCAAACCCTTTTTAGTCATTTCACAAAATATTATATATATATATATATATTATAAAATGTGTTACTAAGGGTATTTTAGTTCAATTTTTATAAATAGGACTTATTTGCACAAATGTCATAGTTTAGGGGTGTTTTTTGCACGGGATGGGTGCAATATGCACTGTAAGCATAGTATAAGGGTGTTTTTTGCACTTGACCCTTTTTTTTATGATCCTGGTGTATTTTAATGTATTTGGACTTGTATTAGAGTTTGCGGGGCGTGACACCCTCATCCCATAACACTTGAATATTTAAAAATTAAAGCAAGCTTAAAGATAATCCATAGGGAGGTCAGGCATAAGCACACTGTAAATCATATAATAAGCTTCAGTGAATGGCAAGGACACCTATTATAACTATAGCAACAAATGACAGAGCAGTGGAAGTTACTTACCAAGCCCCTGACATATTTGCAATCTTCCAGGCATTTCTGAGAATTCAGGACTGCACTCTTTAGTTCAGGTAACCACTTCTCTGTTATATTTTTCTGTTGTTCAGCAGCCAAACTCAAACAGTAACTTGTTGTCCTGGAAGAGGTAGTCAATGAACATCAAGCAAAACCATACAATGTCTGACCTAACAAATTGAAAATATAAAGAATTAAACAACATAGGAAAAGCGGAACCCAATGAGTTGGTTTTGTGTTTGTACCTGTGAGTGTGCATATGATGATGATCTGTGAGTGCACATATAGTGGCAGTTGTGAAGGATGGGGGCATTTGTTTGTCACTTTCAAAAAAACTTTCTTGTGTCTGACTTTTGTTTTTAGATATGGTCAATCTTTTTTATAAATTTCATATAAACCTGAATTTAATTTTCCTTAACAATGATAAAAAAAATTTTATACTTGAACAAAGTCCCATCTAATTTTTTTTATACTTGAACAAAGTCCCATCCATTTCTCGATAGGGAGGTCATCAAATAAGGCAGAAGTAGAAGTAGTCTTTGGTGAATTGGTAGTTGCCATTGCAAGTGAAGGTAGATCATCCTTTGCAGAAGACATATTTTATAGCTAACATAGAATGTCTCACGGCAAAGGATTCAATATAGAGTGGTTTGTTGAGTATCAAAAATTGCATAGACTAAAAGGACCAGATTGTGTAGATTGCTATATTATGGTTGTTGAGTATCAAAAATTGCATATACTAAAATGACAAGACGTTGTAGATTACTATATTATGTCTGTTTGTCAATGATTTTATAAATTTCACAAAATGGCCATATAAATGAGTGGTTTACCAAATCTATGGTTCTGTTCTTTGAAAACACTAGATGGTATAGATTACTATAGTTTGTTTGTTTTCATTGTCTTGCCTCACTTTTCAGGTTTACCAGATCTATGGAAGTCACAATTCTGTTTGGTTCTATTCTATGAACGCGAAGAAAAAAAAAAAATGTAATAGAAAAAGAGTACTTTCAAAATAACAAGAGGTTAACAAGTCCTGTGACTTCCCAAGGTGATTCAATCTGCGCGCACAACTTAGTTATAAAGAGTTTTTCAGGCATTTTGACAGTCCAAAGCTTATCTATGGGTCAGATGAAGAAATTCCATGGCAGCTGCAAGGCGTGGAAGTGCATACCAGAAGCATTTCCCATTGATAGAGATCAACTCGACCCCTATATTTTTGTAGAGGGAGGTCATCAAATAAGGCAGAAGTAGAAGTCGTCGTCTTTGGTGAATTGATAGTTGCCATTGCAAGTGAAGATAGAGGTTTCCATTTAGTTTCTATCTTTTGCCTTATGTTACCTAATCCAGCACAGGGATCAGTATGGATTGGCTCCTCCAATCATAGACTTGGAAGCATGAACATAAAACAGGGGATCTCCCTCTCAACCAAAAGTGTGTGGATGGAAAAATAAATAAATAAATAAAAAATTACTTGAAAATTCAACAATTTTTTGTTAAAGATTTGGTGTTATTCATACATTGTTTTAGAGAAGTTTCATGAGGTGAGAAACTTCTCTAAATTTCTACTAGGACAAGTGGACAAATACAAGAGATGCATGCAAGAAAAATTAACAATAGTTCCAAACTAAATTAAAAGATGCAAGAAAACTACTAAATTAAAAGATCTAAACCAGAGCCTTCCATCTTTTTGCTCCTTCATCTCCTTGGACAAGCTGTTCTTCCAATCCCCAACAACACCAAGCCTGAAATAAGCACTCTTCAAAATCCCAACAGAAGGGTCCACACCATTTCTGTTCACTTCCAAGTTCATCAACCTTTCTAAGCTACACATCCACACTATCCTGTCAACCTCTTCCTCTTTGGCAAAAGGTCTTCCAAGAAATGAAGCCAACTTCTTCACTTGCCCTTTCGCATCGCTCTTCATATCCTCGTATCTCAAGAATAGTATCTTCTCGGGCCTCGTCATGCTCTCCTTCTAATACCCTAGGACATGGTCATGAAAGGGCCTGTAGTTATGAACCCCTTTGCAGAATTTCTCAAAACTCTCACCGATGGGGAACGCCCCTTGGCCTGGCATCCTCCTCGCGTTCATGAAGTGCCACGTTGACACAAATGTGTCTTGGGGTTCCTAGTGACGTACACAATCTTGCAGCCGGAAGTCTTGGACGGACTCCGGTAGCATTGTGCAAGGCGCGTGAGTTCGGAAGAGCCTAGGGGATGGCATATCTGAGATGTTGCAAGTAGAGTTATCTGCAAAGACTTCGATCTCTAAAGATGGGATGAGCACGTTTGGATGGGTCACTTATCTCCAAGGTCCTCAAAACAGCCACCATGTATGTAGTGATCTATTCTCTAATTGATTCAAAATGGAAAGAGGAGAGAGAGGAAAAAGGCTTCAAAGTTGAATTTTCATAAATTTTTAGAGAGACACGTGGATGTATTTGCAGAGATGTTAGTGATAAAATTTAGGATACAACTAATATTGATGGTCCTTTTAGAATTGAAATGTGGATGAAAAATTGAAAATGGGTCTATAAATTTCTGTCAACTAACTAGGAAGAAAATTATGTCAAGAATTGAAATGTGGATGAAAAATTGAAAATTTTCTGTCAGCAATAGGCCATTGAATGATGTTCTTTGTTGCCGTAGTTTTTGTTTACTTCATTCTAATTTTCATGTTGTAAACAGTAACAAATGATTCAAAAGTTTTTTGGAAAGAGTGGTCATAGAAGATGGGCTTGAATGAAAATGCCGTAAAAAGATATGGGTATTATTGTCATATAAAATATAATTTAATAGTTAAAAAGCTTTTAAAAAATGCATTAACCAAACAACTTTTTTCTTATAAATTCCTTTTAGCAAAATTCCTTATAAAAGTCTTTATTCATCGAAGGACTTTTGATGTTAAAAAACTCACCCAAACACCACCCAAATCTTTATAATGAGACTGAAAATTAAAACCCAAATGGATCTCCGTATAAAATTGAATTATAATTTACCCTGAATAATGAAGGAAATCGGAATAACTAAAATATGCACGTACATTTGCGATCAGCATGAATTTCAGGTCACAGTACCAATCTTTGAATTACAGATATGGGTGCTAGAACTTATTCTCAGAGAAATCTGCCATTGCTATTCTTCAAAATCATTTCACAGATAACATAGAAAGGATCCAATGTAGAGTGGTCGTTGAGTATCAATAACTGCAAATAAAGGACCACGTCTAATATAGCGACATGCATGTGCCATAATAATTGCAAAACATGGTGCAGAACTGCAGACTACTGATTATTTTGTTGTCGGGGGTTATCATAATAATTGCCCAAAAACCAATCAACTTTTTCATTTACTTGGAACATGCGACACAAAACAATGAAAAAACAAAGACAATTTCTACAGTTAAATCACACTCTGCCATTTCAATGCCATGAATTTACTCGACCCTAACAAAATACAACGTAGAATAAGCCCCCCATGTACCCAACAACTATTAGTCCGATTAATACACAAAAGATCCTTCTGTACGAAGAACTATCTACAAAATCAAATGGAGGAGAAAATAATGATGTGGGTGCACACTAGCGATATTACATGGTCCTGGGACCATTGGTCCGGACCAATCATGTGCTGACACATAAGCAAATGTGTCAGTTTTATGTCAATTTCAACTCAAACTCGCTTTCATGTGATTGACCGGACCATGTAATAATTTCTCGTACAGTAACCTCAAACACCTCTGCTCGCCCCCTTCCCTATCTTCTTTCCCACAATGAAATCGTAGCCATATCCTCAGCAAACGCCAACACTTGTGGCTCCAGGTTTATCCGGGACCTGCAAACTCCATCAAAGATCTGACGGTATCCAAATTTGGCATGGAAGTAGGAAAGGAACGGAGGCAGCTGAGAGAAAGAGAGACAAAACCAATTGCTCTTGTAGCCTAGAAGTTTAACTCACAGAAGTTCCTTATCATAAAATGTGAGAAGTTGCTTCACATGATTATGCCAAGCAGCAACATTTTGCCCATCAACTGTAACCCAGTCAGCAACAGTTGATGCAGGTTGTTCCCACCATTCATCAAGCTGCAGAAGAGTGCAGTGATAATAAACAGATAAATCAAAAAATAAGAATGATAACAAAATAAAATAAAACTATATAGCTGTAAATCAAATGCAGAAGTATTGAGAACAAAAGTAAATAAAAAAAATTACTTACTACTGAATTTATATATTCAGAACCATCATGTCTGGAAAAAAAATCTCTTTATGTACTTTCTTATTTTATTTTATTTTATTTTTTAAAAAATTACAGTTCTCATTTTAACAAGACTCATTACAATAAATTTTTTTTTTTTTCTATAATTAATAATAATACTTTAAATACACAAAAATTAAGATAAGGTTAATACTACGGGTTCCTTTTCTTCACAGAAAGTGAGGTTTGAATCCTGTTGTCCCTTGCATGATGGTCATCCAAGTTAAAAGACGTTATTTCATAAGAGAGGGATAGGGCACATTTGGCTCTTTCAATGATTTACGAAAGTCACGTGTCTTTCTGATTATTCATATCAAAAACTATGAATACGTGAACTATATGAAACCAACAATTATGTGGTCACAACTTCAAGCAATCCCATCAGATAAAGAATTCAATGTCAGAAGTTACATGTCTTTTTCCAAGAGAGAGAAATCAAAGGGAGAAAACAACCCAATACAGATGCATTTTCGGTGACATAAAAATTAAAGCAAGCTTAAGATAAGTCAAATTGTGTGTAACAGGTTTGCTTGAAGCACAATAATGCTGAAATAGAAAACCACTTTAGAAGGTACTTTATACCCACCCCAACCCTAACAGAAAAGAAGAATGAAAATTGATTTAAGGATCTAATCCATTGGGAGGTCAGGCATAAGCACACTGTAAATCATATAATAAGCTTCAGTGAATGGCAAGGACACCTTTTATAACTATAGCAACAAATGACAGAGCAGTGGAAGTAACATACCAAGCCCCTGACATATTTGCAATCTTCCAGGCATTTCTGAGCATTCAGGACTGCACTCTTTAGTTCTGGTAACCACTTCTCTGTTATATTTTTCTCTTGCTCAGCAGCCAAACTCAAACAGTAACTTGTTGTCCTGGAAGAGGTAGTCAATGAACATCAAGCAAAACCATACAATGTCTGACTTAACAAATTGAAAATATAAAGAATTAAACAACATAGGAAAAGGGGAACCCAATGAGTTGGTTTGTGTTTGTATCTGTGAGTGTGCATATGATGATGATCTGTGAGTGCACATATGGTGGCAGTTGTGAAGGATGGGGGTATTTGTTTGTTACTTTCAAAAAACTTTCTTGTGTCTGACTTTTGTTTTTAGATATGGTCAATCTTTCTTATAAATCCCATATAAACCTGAATTTAATTTTCCTTAACAATGATAATTTTTTTTATACTTGAAGAAAGTCCCATCTAATACTCAAGGTTTCTTGGTCATATTATGATTACTTAAGCAGTGTTGGCTTCATATTTAAATTTAAGAATTTTATTGTTGAACCATGGACACTTCAAAGATGTGTTAAACACATATCCAGAACTGTTGTATAAAAAGTATTGATGTCCAGCATGGACATGGCTCGTTCATAGAAGTGCCGGCTCTGCACTTCTTACTTGACTAACTTTCAATGGGTTTCTTTGGCCGCTCAATAAATTTATATAAAATATAAATTTTCTTTCAGCAAGATGCAAGGTTTTCAAAAGGTTAGATTTATACAGTGTCCAGCTCTGTCTGGACATAAATAAATAAAAAGGCAACAACTTCAAGCATACCTTTCGTACTCATGTTGTGCACGGAAAACATGATTTAACATTGCATGTCCACTTTCAACAAGATCCCGCCTCATATGAACCAAGCTAATTGCCTTTGACAGGTCCTCCAACACACAAGCCTCTGAACCACGAAGCTTCAAACAGAATTCCAGGGACTTTAATACTGATGCTAAACCAGCATCAGAACCTTCCAGACCTAAAAATACATGACAACTTAGTTGGGATAATCACGAGTAAAAGAAGGATAACATTGCCACCTAGAAGGCATCTGAAGAATTTCAAAATTCTGTAAGCAAAGAGAATACTCCTAAATTTACCTAGTCAAAAACATTTAGCTTTGTATAGTTACTTTTTCATGGTAACAGAATAACGTTTCATTTTGCTAGGTAAAAGGAAGACTGTTTCCTTTATTTTTCAAACTGCTAACTACTATAAGTGTACTGAAATGGGAAAAGGGGACTTTGATTGCCAGGAAAAGAAAAAAAGAAAGGAAATGGGAAAGGAGGACAGGAAGATAATCTGAAAAGATCATCAGTAGCAGAAACAGGATTTTTAAAGAAATCTAGCCTATGATGAATCAAAAACATGTCAGCTCCGATATGCTAAAAAGTGATCTCCAGTAAGTGTCACCGAGATTAACTAACAAGATTTATTTCAAAGAAGAAGAAAAAAAAAACTCATCAACCATTAATTTAAAGTTCGAATAATTTCAATCAAGGAGATCAGAATCTTTTTTTTTTTTTTTTTTGATAAGTCAAGGAGATCAGAATCTTGAAGGAGTCTCAGCTGTTAGCTCCAAGACTAATAAATTTGTGAGTAATATATATATATATACACACACTCCGTATACATTTTACCTTGGCAAGAAGCTGAAGAAGTACCACTAGGTTACAGCCCTTGGTGTTAATAAATTTGTGATTAATAGGTTCCCCTGCTATGTTACAACTTATAAGACTTTGCACCTTAATCTTATGACAAGTGAATCCCACTCGTACTCCAATTTTATGTTTTCCCCAGACTTGTAAAGTGCACATATTTTATTACATATGATGGGGTTTGAATCTGGCTCTGTTCAGTATTAAACAAAAACAAAAACAAAAAAACAAAAAAACAAAAACAAAAAAAAAAAAAAAGAAAAAAAAGAAAGAGGAAAGGGCGAGAGTTGAGGAGGATCAAATAGTCCTTGGTTTGGGTTGACCCAAGTCACTAATTACATAAATGAGACATCCAACAAAAGTTGCTCTTCTACTTTTCCTTTTCTAGTGGTGCACAAAGAGTGTTTTTCACAAGCCCGTTAATATTTTAATGCTTTTGGTAGACAGTTCTCAAATTAGAGGCAACATACTTCTCCCTTTGTGACACAGGTTTTTGCTAATGGTCAGGGCTGATGTCTATAATTGTGTTGCCCCATGAAAGGCAACCCCTCCGATAGGCTGAGGCATCGCTACGGATCAGGTACCAAGCAAACCTTGAGCTTGGCCCCAATTGGCCAAGGATGAGATGTCAAGACAAGGAAGGCACAAAAATGACTTGTAGCATTTAGCACGGATGATCTGGTCTCACCAACATCAGCCGTGGAGAAGGAATACAAGTAAGGCATGCTTCTAAAAGAGAGGTCATCACACAATGTAAGTCCATTTGACACATGGTACAGGGAGGAGAAAGGTGGAGTCAGACTAAAAAATTTGGCATTGTTTCACACAAAGTGGCTGCTCTAGACTCAAAAACCCGGGACTGAAGGTTTGTCAGTCCAAGCTTTCACAATATTGCAGAAAGCATCTAAGGCATACTTCTAAAAAGATGAATAGAGACTCACCAGCAGAATATTGAAGGGCAGCAGAAACGCGGCATATAGAAGGAATTGCGGATGGGTCTCTGGCACCGGCTCTTGCAGTCAACAGAGCAGCATTCCTTTCTGCAGCAGCAACTGATTCAGGTCCGGTAGACCCATTAGCACCCATGGCCTCCAGGAGAGCCTGATTGATTGAAATTAAAGGGCATATAAGTGCACTAGACAACTGCAAAGATATACCAATTAAGTATAGGATTTATAAACTAAACCGTAGTACAGTCATCACGTGCAATCCACTATTTACCATGATATGAAGTGTTAACAATATCGTGTCGTTATTAAGGTGAAGATAAGAACTGTCCAGAATGATTTTAAGAAAAAAGAAAAGAAACGCCTCCTGTAGAACCACTAGACAAGAATTTACCATAGAAGGGTAAAGCAGGAATGAAATCAACATTTTCTTTATACATAACCAATAAAGCCTCAATTAATAGTCAAGCCAGTAGAAACAATATTTACCGAGCTATAAGCCTATAACACATTCAATGACATAATGATCAACGAATTTTTCGAGGAACAATTGAGTTTGGAAGCAGGCACTAAATATAGTGGAATAGCAGTAATTGGATGTCAAATAGAGCAACCTATAAAGTCGCCAAAATTTTATGGTAGGAAGCTATAAAATAGCTATGTCAGAAGTGATATAGCATGAGCACGTTAGTCTAGACATATATGATCAGGTTTCACACAAAGTTAAATTTGACCATTAAACTACAAATGGTTGACAAAACACAGTTGGTACAGGGCACCTCATTACATACCAGTGCAAAACATTTTTTTTTATTTTTTTTTTATTTTATAAGTTACATACCAGTGCAAAACTTGTGAATATTTCTCTCCTTGTTAATAGAACACTAACCATGAGTATTGATAAGTCTTGTGATTGACTTTAAACATATGAAGCAAGTGATCAGATCTTTCTTCTTTAGTCTCAAATATGTTCATGACAAATACATCAATAACAGTTAAACATACTTCTGTTTGCTCCAATCTTGCAATTTCAGACTTAAAATCTAGAACTGTAAATTCAAACACTAATTCATGGTATTTAATATATATATAGGATGTAACTTAGTCCAGTGGTATCCCCTCACATCCCAAAGTGGAAGGTTGAGAGTTCCCATAGGGTAAAAATTGCATGTTGGGGCCTGAGGGGGTAAAGTATAACTAGATAATAAGCAGTGAATTTTCAGTCCTTACAGTAGACATAATAACACTTAATATTTCCTCATCAGCAAAAAGTTCACAAAAACACTCCAGAAACTATAATTGCTACTAATTACAATAATGAGGAGTTATAATAAAATCATAGAAAAGATTGTATTCTGAAATTCTACATACCTGTGGGGTTGATGGAAGCATGTAGGGGCTATTATCAGGGCTTTGATAAAAGGCTGACACTTCTCTATCAATAAGATCTTTTGCATTATTTGATATGTCAACAACAACTGTGCATGCGGGAATTATGGTGCTAGATGCATACTCCCTTGCCACTAATGGCTGCTGATTCCAGAATGTAGCAGCATCCTAAAAGGTGAGAGAAAGCAACATAAGATTATCTACAGTTTTAAGTGGAGACTACTATTAGTCTGTTTGGAATGTTCGTTTTTGCATGTTCTTTCCCTAAAATGTCACCAGATGCACATGTAACATAAGAAAAAAACAGAGATAGAAAAAAATAACTAAATGTGTAGAAGAAAAAATATGATGAGGTAAGGAAACCGAACACGGATCACGAACCCACACCTGTGATTTTTAAAGATAAGCATTTATTAGAAGGTAAGTTGTTTTAAAATTAATGCTTCCTAAAAAACAAAGAAAACTATAAGAAATGTACAATGTAAATGCTAAATAAAGGTATAATCCTAAAAGGTAAGTAGGTAACGTAACCTCACTCACCATATATTTGCATTGTCTACAGAAGATCATCTAACATATTGACATCATAGTCACTTTTGATATAAAAAAATATGAGCGACAAGCTACAAGGTATGCCCTCTATGCCTAGCTTATAGATAATACTCAAGTATTTCCATTTTCTCTCGCTTTTAAATGGTGAACTGAGAACAATATAACAACCTCAAGATCCAGATTATAAACCAGTTAAGCTAACAGAATGAGGCCATAGAATAATGTAAATTATTTAAAATAAAAGGTAAAAAATAAATAGAAACAGAAAGACATAAAATGAAACAACAATATAAATTTTCAGGAAAAAAAAAACTTTAGTAACCATGGATTTTATACAGCACCATCAAACTGAATGACAAAAATTCACAGGACAAGTGGTGCTACAGGTGTCCCTCGATAAATTGATTGTATACAATTCTATACCTAAAATATAGGTTGATACAGAATTTCAGTACCCACTCCAAATATGCAACAATTTGACCCTATGGCAAGGTAATGACACAATTAGTAAAGGCAACACAAAGACATATAGAGGGTAAACAAACTGTGTATAAGTCATGGCAAAAAGATCAGAAGGAATCAAAAGTAGAAAGGTATGCCATGTATTTGCCAGATCAGGGTTGAAGCAGCAAGCTGATTATAAGAAGCATGGTGAACGAGAAAAATCAAATATTTCCAAATTTCATTTTTCTTTTTTCGTTTTTTTTTTTTTTTTTTTTTTTTTTTTTTTTTTTTTTTTGTGAGTGTGTATGTGTGTGTGTAAGGAATATTTTCAAATTGTTAGTTGAAAAGAAGAAGAATGATTTGTTGGGTACCAGGAATGTAAAACTAGAAGGGAAGGCAGGAGGAACGGAAAAGACATTCCTAGGGAAAGGAAGTTGCCTATTCCTCATTTCGTTTGGATGAACATGGAAGGAAAAGGATTTTTTTGTCATCACAAGATACACTTTCATATTAAAGGCAAGTTATTTGAAGGCAAAAACAAGCCTCTTTTCCCTTCCCTTCACCCTTCACCCGCATTTGGACAAAAGTATGGTGGGCCAAATGGAAAGTACTTCTCTCCTCTCTTCCTTTCCCTTTATCCTTCCTCTTTTCTTTCCCCCACTCTTCTGCCCCGCCAAACAACCGTGAAGATAGTAAAAGAAAAAGAGGCCATGTAAGGTTAAGGTTTTCTCTGAATAAAAGTTCAAGGTTAAGCTTTCAAGATCCAAGGAAATTACTCTTTCTTCTTCTCTTTTCATATAAATGAAATGCCAAGGCATTCCCATGGCATGTCATGATAAAATATCGAAAGGAATACAAGAAGAGAAAAGTAATAAAAAAACAATGGAGTAAATCAGTAATATAATACATATAAACAGCCTTCTGAGCATGAATTACACATAAATAAATGTAATTAAATATTGTGATCACTTACATAGTCTAGTAATATAATAACTCCGTCCCATACAAATGTACTAATAAATCCATTTTGCATTGTTTATTTCAGAAAGTAGGTATACTCATTATATAAGCAGCTAGTAACACTAGCCAGGACCTGCGGGGCTATCCTTTGCAACCAGGTTCTCAGCCAATTCAATAAACAAATTTGATTCACTCTATGAATAGGTCGGATGCAACCATTGACCAAATTAAACCAATTATAGTTCAGATATTCTACAAATTTTTGCATATGAATATTATAGTCAGTTGGCATGTTCAAACAATAACCAACCCAGTGCTAACCCTAGTAGCAGTCTCACATCCATAACGAGATTTCAGTTGGTGGTCCAACTGAACAAAATAACTAGACAAATAAGCAATAGTGGGGATTTATTTATTTATTTATTTTCTGCTGGTGGTGGACCGGTGGTGGTGGTGTGGGGTGTGTGCGTTAGGGGGACTGAAGCAGTAAACACATAATGTTATGTATAGTTGCTGCACAAGTTGATTTTCCCTTCCATAAGATAGAAATCTGCAATGCTTCAGTCCAAGGAAACAACAGACTGACAAGAATATACCCACTGGAATTTTATATCATTATGAAGTTAATTCCATGACAATCTGATAAATAACCATAACTGAGTTAGAGCTTCGTAATAGGGGACATCCAAACACAGCTATCTTACCATGTTAGCCCTACGTAAAGCAGTATATATGGATTCAAGTTCAGATCTGCGTGCGTCGAATTCTTCAATCTTCTTCCACTTCTTTCTCAAAGAATCCTCAGCTTCCTTCCTCTCTGCACATAATTTATTCAACCGGTGTATTTCAGACATCAATGTATTCAAGCCAGCCCGCAAGCCAGCAGCTTCTCTTTCCTTGGCCCACACCTCCAACTGCAAAAAGAAATACAAGAATTGCTAAAAGAAGGCACAAATTGCAGATACACTTGGAAATAACTTTTTATTACACTTTTACTTGTAAAAAAAAAAAAAAAGATACACTTGGAAATATATATAAGCCAGAGTCATGAATTTTACCTTAAGCAGAAAAAAGATGAAAACTGAGTTTAAATGAATATAAGAATTTCTACCAGCAATTAAACAAATTAAAGAGAGAATAACATTGTGGAATTTTCTCTAATTAAAGATATCCATATAAGGGTCTTTATAGTACTGGGGAGTTCACCCTTAAGTGTTCGAAGACAGAATGCGTTGACTATTTCCCTGTTTCAAGCTATTACTGCAGACTGAATACAATTCAGCATCAATGCAATTATTTGGCACAGAAAGACCAATGCTGCTACTCCTTTCCACTTTTTTCAGGGCCACATGATCCACTAAACCAAGGTAAATGTAACGACAAATGTCGCAAACCAAGAACAGATTAAGAAACAATACAGAAAAGTAAACATGCCACACACAAAGAACACAGATATTTACATGGTTCGGCATAAGGCTACATCCACAGTGAAGATCCGGCGAAAGATTTCAATATGTAAAAAACAGAAAAATGCAAGTTTCAGCCCCCAAACCCTAGCTCTCGCTCTCGCTCTCACTCTCACTCTCTTTCCTGCAATTTTCAGTGTTCTCGCATTACACACCCCAAACCCTAAATGCCCTTATAAATTGGGCTACAAGAGAGTCCAAAACAGGGTCCACAACCCACAAGAGGAAAATATGTCAATTTTTTTCTCATTCTTCAGGTCGAACCCGGGCCGCATCGCGTCCCGGGTCGGGTCAAAACAAAATTCGGGCCACAACGTCACAGTTATCATATTATTTTCTTTTTTGGGAACAAGAAACCACAATTATATACCTCTGTATAATGATTTCAACTAAATTGAACTTTATCCCAGCATAGGATTGGCTACATAAATCTTGGTTAGCCATTCCATCTCAAGCACTTCTGAGTTGAATCCTTTTAGCCATAACAAGCAGCTAGTGAAAAAGTTTAACTCAACTCCATTACATTCTCAAGTCACCATCCACAGTTCACAAAGTCAAAATCAATGGGGCTAGGACCCACCATCCGGTGGGTTACATTGAGTTGATCAAGTAATCTATAATGAAGTTAACCAAATATAAAAATCATGCATTAAAAAAGACAGTCAAAGAGAACCCAATTTATACACACTCCATTAGCAAACAGATTGAACAAGAAACCCACCTTAGGATAAGGCAAAGGAAGCAAGGTAGAGCTAGCCATAGGCTGGATTCGGTTAGTTTAGGATTTCAAATTAAAACCATACATAAAATGAACCCAATTAATTCATTTGAAGGCAAACCAAAAATAAGCGTCCTAACTACTGCAAAAATTTAATGAATATAGAAAACTAAAAGAACTATATTTAACTAAAAATTAATCAAAATAACAATACAAATCATTTTACCTATGATGGGAAAAAAGGAGGGGTAGGAGAACTAAAAACCTCAGATAAAGGACACAGAAACCCTGATTATTTTTATGTGAAGTTGAAACCTTGAAGCCCCGAACCATCCAAATGTTTATAAGATTCCAAAGTCCCAGAAAGGTGGAATGAATTGAAACTCTAGACTGTATATGCCATCTTTCACAAACCTGACCAATTCAAGCATTGGCCTGCCTAAAACAGGCCAAGCTTCTGCTCAACTCAACTTTTTGGTGAATTAATCAAATCAAGCAAAAGTTGCTCATGAACAATTAGGCTCTTTTGAATCTCAATGTTGGAAAACATTCGTCTAATTACACCCAATACAATTCTGTGATGTGCCTCCAAGAAGTGAGTATGAAGCGAGTGTGATAACCGAACAAGTATTACCTCAAGTTGCCTGAGACTGCCCATATTCTGTGGCGTGCCTCCAAGAAGTGTGTGCGAAGAAACAGCATCAGCACTTCCATGCAGACGCTTTATAAGTTTCTGACACGTATTTCTAGCTTCTGCAGCTTTGTTAAGTGCATCTTCAGTAGCCACAAATTGCTGAACATGGGCTTTCTGTAAGCACAAGGATATGTTAGATAACAATGTACACCTAGAGATAAAATCTGGACTCAGAAAAGCAACAAAACAATCATAATTACTAAACTCAGGGAAGATTTCCAAATATATGTAAAATATTACAACTCCAAACAGAAACAATTTAGTAGTAAAGAGATTAAAGCAAACTCAGAAAAGACCTGTCTTTCAAGAAGTTGATTTTGCGTTCCTCTTGAAGGCAAATCATTTCCAATATTTTCATTGCCATAAAGTTGATATTGCAACGATGAGCTGACATCAGTAGAAGAATCCATTACTGTGTTATTCTCATATTTGTACCTGATTAAGAAGATGAGAAAATTAGTCTGACATAAGCTATGTACTTTAGCATAGCAAGAATGAGACTAGACCAAAACATGCACTTAAATGTAACAACAAGAGATGTCATCCCTGTGCCTAGAATACAGCAGACTTAAAAATCAAGCACACGTCAACTTAGGGAAAAGTTCAGCACTCGGAATAGTTCAAGTCAAGACAGACAAATGAAAGTCACTTGATAAGACAAGATTGACAAGTTTCTAGGATATAGTATGACTAAATTTGAATATAAATAGTCAAACATTTGCACTTGCAAATGCATCAATCACTACCAATGGTTGGTTTTGAGTCATTTCAATAACACGAGGAGATATCAGTCTGTAACGTGGAAAGTGGTGCCCAACGTAACATGAGAAATCCATATGTGCCTTGCTGATACATGTCAGCATAAAGAATGTCAACTAGAGCCTATCATGTAGATTCCAATAAACTAGATGCTTTAAATTTTAAAACAAAAAATTCATCTGAAGGGATTCAGAAACCAAATGTCCTATTTGACCAAAATACAATCCCCAAAAATCTTTGCTTACAGAATTGGCAGGATGTATGATCTTTGACCTTCTCCAACCAGTTCACATATTTCATTTATCAATTTCAAAAAAATGAGATCAATTTAGGCTTACATTATATATAGAATGTATAATGGCAACCAAAATCCATTCCCAAGTATTGCTATTAAGGTAAAGTTTGAAAACTATATGAACAACTCAATAAGCTAATAGAAATGAACATTCAAATTTCATTATGGGAGCACAACCAAGCATGCTCATTCATCTGAAATGGAACCATGGTAACTGAGATATATGTAAAAGAATTCCCAATAATTGCAGAAATATTTGAATTCCATATTTAACCAGTGCCTTGTCCCCAGTATTAGGGTAAGCAACAAAAGCTCTGTTCATTCTGACAGGAAATATTAAGTTTCAAATATTTATCCATTGAGCAAATTGAAATGGAAAGGCGACATGGATACAAGGATAAATACTAAATAACTGCATAATCAGTATATACAGCTCAGAGGATCAAATACCCCTGATTATTAAACCATAAGCTATGCGTTACAGAACCAAAAAAATCAAGAAAATAAGACATTGAGTTATAAATACTACCTCAAGGTTTCTGCATCAGCTCTAATATCAATTTTCTCTAGTTCTCGAGTAATCAGAGTTTTCAGACGTTGAGTGTATGCAGTAATTGTCTGAAGCAACTGGGAAGGACTCTTCAGGCAGTCCATAATCGCATCTCCAACCTCACCAGGTAGTTCACCATCATAATCAAAACCCAACTTTGCGACTTCTGACTGGGAATTAAAATGTATTCCACTTCCTTCATAAGCCGGAAATGATTTGCAGATCTTTTCAATCATCTGCATGGCAAGAGATTCACATGCCTTTCGGATATTTCTTTCACTAGTTGTTTCTATAAGAATGACATCATCTGCAGATTTGGTGCCTTTAACAGTTGAATAAACAGCCTCTTTCTCGCTTTTTGTACCAAAACTGTCAGTCACGTCAACAGAAGACTCAACACTCAAACTCTGAGCATCCCTTGCTTGATTAACACAGTAACGAAGACGCTTATGGTACTCTGCAAATATTTTTGCTGCTTCATCACATTGTTGATGATAGGACTCCAGCATCACTTGCTTGTGCCTGCACTACGAGTAGAAAAATATAAATATATTCTAAATACACTTGACACTACAATAACTCAGATACAAGTCACTAAAGTCTTGCAGCTCTTGCCAAGCTGTCAATACACCTTATAAACGTTCTTTTTCACAACATGAAAAACCCAATAAATTAATTGCTTGATTTTCCTCTCCAACCATCTATTGGTTGTTTCGCACTATCTAAGGATCAAGTTCAGAGCTTTTTATCAAAATAAAGTGAGTTCCAAGCGAACATAAGTTGGCATATATAGAAGTACAATTGGCATTAGCATAAGAAGGTACTCATCTATTATTTCAATTTCCTCTTTGACCACCTAACTGTTTGTTATTTGAAATTAAAGTTAGAAGCAATGTGCCCAAGTATATCCAGTACAATCACATGGTGCAATATTTCGGGTAAACACAAAAGACTTGCTTGTTTCAGCTCCTCTTATCATCCCTTCATGGTTTACAAAATAAAACCAATAGCTTCCACCATTGTGTTATCCTCTCTTAGTAACTAACCGTTTGCTCTGGAATTCAAATTCATATAACGTATCCAAACAAAGTAGAGTGTGTCAACTATGCTCCATCAATAAATTTACAATGCAGCAAAAAGTTATAACATTTCATAGGTCATAGTGCAGTTTCCTATATTATATAACATATTATGTATATACCAGCTCTACTGTTTCCCTTCTAGCACCCCACATTAGCAGCAGCAACACTGAGTAAAGGACTTCTTTTATGAATGGAAAAAGTACTGTGAAAAAGGTTGAGATATTCAACCTGTAATTTGACCTCTCGTCAAGCATTCGCTTACGCTCTGCCTCCTCTCGCGAAACCTCCAACATCCGAGCCTTCAACTCCTTTCGCTGCCGCTTCACTATGTGCCTCAACTTTTCCACCTCTTTCTCCGCCAATTCTCTCTCCTGTAACGCAATCTCTCTACTACCGTCCACTGAACTGGAACTCGAACTTTCCCCTCCCAGACCCAACTTTTCCTTTCTCCTCCCTCTACTCCTCCCCACCTGGCCGGCTTTCACAGGATCAACATTTCCGCCGCCACCACTGTCGTCATCACCATGAACCAGTATGTTTCGCCGGATATTGTCCACCGTCTTCGCCGATTTCACTCTCAGCAACAGATAGTTCCACACTGGAATCATGTTTCCGCGGCAAACCTTGCGAAGCGAGTCAATCGATGGCATTGCCGCCTTGTTGGACGCAATGTACGGACCCAACGGTCGATACCCCATCTCCTTCTGTAGCCAATCGAGTATGGCCTCAGGCTGGGCCACCGAGCTCGTTGAGCTCTGCATTCTGCGGAAATCTAGGGTTCTAAAATCCCAACAAATTTAAAATATATATCATCACTACATTCTACTTCAAAACCCTAATTCACAAATCTGAAGACCAATAGAAGATCATGTGCATATATAGAATCATAAAAATATATAGAAATAGATAGATATATAGAAAGAGTGAAAGCTGAATTTGAGGAACGAGTACAGAGACCACTAACGACTAAAACCTAGATTTCTAGAGAGAGGAAGTGAAGAGAGAGAGAAGAGGTGTAGGACGAGTAAATAGATCTGCGTAATCTTTGAAGTGTTTGGAATTGGATGTGGTCGGCGAAGGAAGAAGATGTATATACATTTGTGTATGTATATAAGATCGTACAAGAAGTTCGAACCGTAGCGAGTCGAATTGCATGAAAGTTCAAATAGATGGTCCCGCCTGTTGATAGATCGTATTAATCATCTACTCGTATAATACTGGTTTAGCTGCAGTGTCTATTTTCTTTTTCGTTTCTTTTTTATTTTTAGTCCCTTTATTTTTATATTTTTGGGTATATAAGATTAAATAGAAAATAGAAAATGATATATCTGTTTTTGCTACCAACTGATGTGGCAACAATAGAGATTCACTTTAATCGCATCAAAAATAGAGATTCACTTTAATTGGAGTCGTACAAAAAATTATCGGTTTTATATGTTACTCTCCTAATAAAATAAAATAAATAAAAAAACACAACAACAACAACAAACAAATAAAATACCAATAATTTTTTTTGTTTGGAGTTGTGTTGTTTTGGAGATAAAATGTATTTTGAAAAATATTTTCAGTGTTACTTTAGAAGAAATTTGAAAATGATATTCATAATATTTTCAGTGTTACTTTAGAAGATATTTGAAAATGATATTCATAACTTATTTTACATTGAATTGTTAGTTCTAACTTATATATATATATATATATATATATATATATATATATTGTCAATCATTTTTCATAATATGTTTGATTTTTTAATTAAAAGTTAACAAAATTCATGATCATAAGTATGGATGGTAATTTGACCCACTCCTGCGGTTATCCATCTCGTTTTTGGTGATTTTGGGAGACCGTTTAACTTATTTGGACAAGGATGATATGATGTAATAAAAACCGTGTGAGTTTGGTGCGGGGGCTGGGAGAGGAGGGGTGGGAGGAGGTCGCCCCGCCCCATTTAGATAGACAAATTAGTTAAGTACATTTATTTCATTAGTATATATTTCTCAGTATATAGTTGCAACGGTGAAAAACTGAAGAAGAGGGGAAAAAAAAAATAGTAAATCTATTTCAATAAAAATGTTAAACAGTTGCAGGAATGGAATGAAAAGTTTCCCTGTTTCTGCGATTTTGGGCGGGGACGAAGGCAATATTTTTAAACGGTTGCGGACACGAGGAGCCCAAACTCGCTCCCAATTAAAAAAAGTATTATATATTATGTTACATTTAAATGTTTCTAAAAAAAAATTACTCTTCAATAGTTTAAGATTGTCCAAGTGTGACGGGTTTGATTCATTTTCCTCCAATTTTTTCAAAATGTTACCAAAAATCACGGTCACAAAAGGACAAGTTTGGTAGTCTAACATTAATAACTCCTATATTGCAATAATACTGTACGAGTCTTTATTCGTTACCCAAAAAAGGGTCATAGTGTCCAAACAACGTGTTAAATTGTCCTATGCGATGAAGGATTCAAGAGGCTCTTCAACAAGACGGCATTAGCATTGTTGTCCAAAACCTTTGTTCTTCTCAAAAGTCTTATCTAATATTTATATTACTGTTCCAAGACATAGAGTGGTTGACAAAAGATTCGAAAAATAAGTTTTTGAAAGGCATAGCAACATTAGTAAGGGATCCGGGAGGTAAGATCTCGCTTTCGAACCGTACTATTATACTATTATTACAATACATATTTTTTAACCTGAAGTTGTAACTTAGTGAAATTTTATACGAGTGTATACCCCAAGTTAAAGTTTTTTTTATTTTTATTTTATGTAAGGAATTTATAGAAGAACAATATGAGGAGGTATTTGTATATTTTGCATATAGTATATATATATTTTTTTACTCATATTTTTTTCAAGTAAAAGGTTTTTTTTTTTTTTTTGAATGATAGTAAGTGTCGGGCCTTTTAGAACACCCTACAATTCATTACTAAGCACGTGCAACATTCACCAGGTAATTATTGAAAAAATTTTATGGGGGTGACTCAAAGGATCGAAAATCAAACTCCGGATCTCCAAAATGTGAGATGAGAATCTTTACCATTAGGGTATCATTGTGATTCGATCTCCTGACTTCAAAGTAAAAGGACCTTGTTTATCTTGTTTGAGCCATTCTATGGCACACATGGTTTAGTTTGAACTAGATCTTGCTCCTTTGGTTGTCATTGGTGCGATAGGGTATTTTAAATTTGTAAAAATTTATGAAGAAAACCCCCCATTAAAATTACAAAAATGAACCCACCATATAAGTTTACCCCATAAATTAACCTGTTTAATGGGATCATCTAACCGGTTACTTGGTTGATAGTTCTAATACGTTGGACATAAAAGGGTTACTAAAGAGCATTTAGTCCAATAATACAACTTTCTTGTCTTCAAAGGTGACCGAAGATATTTGCCCCCTCCCTGTGGGTAAAAAAGAGTGTGTGTGATGGGTTCATGCCAATTTTTCTTAGAAAAACAGAGACATAATAATTGCACTATAGAAGGGTAATTTTGTCTTTGCAGATCTTTTTTAATTCATGGCCGAACTTTTTTCGTCTCATTTGCTTAAACTTTTCAAAAGGGCGACTAATCATTTAAAGCGGTGGCCGACACCAATCGTCGGTGTGAGAGTGAGACAGCTACCGTAAGAAGTCAACAACATAGTTGATTTTTTATTTTCCATATTTTTGGTCATAGTTGAATTAATTAATTGAAATAAAATAGAATAAAACGACATAAAAAAACCTTCTGGTGGGTTTAATCCTTAGGAAAATTTAAAAATTGGAACATCCAAAAATAAGCAAACAACTTGAATAAAATTTTCAGAATCATTTAATAAATAAGCCAAAATAAAAAATTAATAAACATACTTACAAAAATAGGACTAGTCCCTTAATATTTAACTTGCTTTAATCAATCTCCACTTGAAACTAAAATTTAAACTTATAATTTGAACACAAGCTTAGAGTTTGGCTAAATGTCCAAACTCAAACCTAACACTAATTTGGAAGATTGATTTGTTTTTATTGCTACCCTCCAAGTTTATTTAAGCATTCCATAACAGGGACCTTATCAATTCTTTATCTCTGACTTGATTAAATATTACACATTTTACATTTACAACAATTACTATGTTTATTAGTGTATGTATGCATGTAAAGGAAACAAGGAAAACCTAATATACGTTTTGAAAAAAAAAAATAAAAAAATAAAAAAATAAAAAAATAAAAAAAAACCCCAATATAGTATATATTAATTTTAAAAAGAAATTCAATGTTGGCACTCTCGTTTTAATCAAATGTACCCTATTCTTAAATTGAAATGACACAACTGTTCCTAATCCATAAATAGGAAAATAAAATATTAGAGGTATAATTGTGATTTATGTTAAGAAAAAGACACCCAAAAAAAATTTTTAAAAATACATTTGGTTAAAAGAGAAGTCTTACTCAAATATATATATATATATATATATATATATATATATATATATATATATATATTATGAATTAAAATCTTATTAGGATAAAGTGCAAAAAAACCATATTATATAAAAAATTGTGTAAAAAACTCATACTAATTAGTATGCGTGTATAGATCTTTATTATTTAAAAATAGGGTTAATTACAAGGACCTCTCTTATAGTTTGTTATAATTACAAGAATCTCATTTATGGTTTGAAAAATTACACAGATCTCCCTTAAAACTGAAACATTCCTACAAAAACCTCCCTTCTTAGGCTCCTAGTGACGTACTGTCAAATAGACTAACAGACCTATCTAATTTATTGAAATGCCCTCAAGTTGTTATGGTAAATGACTGAACTATCCATATGTATATATTTATATTTATAGCGACATATATATTTATATATATGTAGGACTGTTCACCTGCTCACTGATTATGAATTTATGCATGAATTAAATCTTAACCGTTGGATATAAAAGAATAAACTACCTTTTTAACTGCACAATGAAATCTAACAATTAAGTCTTGAAGATTTAAGAGTGAGAGAGGAAATGTTCTCGTCGGAGAGGGATTTAAGATTTAAGAGTTAAGTCGCATTCACCAGAGTTCATGGAGGATCAAAGTTTTCACCAAAATGCAGCCGCTAAATCCGACGTCGGGCAATCGAACGGCGATTACCCAAGACCTATCTTCACTGCATGTTACCCATCTTCGTTACTTTCTCTATCTAGTAATTCTCAACCTAAATCTTCGTTTGATTTAAGGCTTTTGATATATATATCTATATGTTGTTCATATATATATATATATATATATGATAGTTTCCAATTTGCTTCTTTATGTTGTTTAATCGATTTCAACAGGCAAAACTAATTTTTCTATTTCATGCCTATTATTGGAGTTCTTATATATGGACTCTCAGGGAGTAATTTGAGAGGTCATAGGTGTGGTACAAAAACCCAAGATATGGGTTGTGTCATGCATGTTATTGGGGTTGTTGAAAGACTCAACCAGTTATAGTTATGATGGAGAAGACAAGGATATTTTATACACGACACTAACAAAATTTATCATTAATCCTTAAAAAAGGAGATTTGTGTAACAACGTTTTATTTTTAGAGGAGATTTGTGTAATTTTTTAAATCATAAGGGAGATTGCTGTAATTATGACAAATCATAGGGAAGTACCCCTTAAAAATATGTGTAAATTATTTTATAATATTTGTTGACCATCAATTTTAACCAAATATATATATTTTTAATTTATAAAAATCCCAAAATACCTTAAATCAGTGTTGTTTTATTTTTATTTTGTCTCAAGAATGTTTTAGGTATTTTAATTGTTAAATTTATAAATTATTTTTATTTGCTCAATTTGAAAAATATATGAATAAATATTCCAATATACATTTTGGAAAGAAAAAAAAGCCAAATATATAGTAGTATATATGTATATTTTAAATAGTATTATCTTATATTAATAATATATAATACTTGTATAATAAAGTCGAGACTAGAGACTAGACTCTTCCACCACCCACCACCAAAATGATGAAGGTCGCTTTAACTTCGCACTTTCATGGTCTTTCTCGGCGAAAACAACACTCCGTCGCATTATAGAATCCGAAGCACCTCACTTCCGGATTTCTAGGATTTCTTTTGTCTACCTTCCTCCTTTTTTCTCTCTCTACTTTTTAGTCCCAGGTATTTTGCTTCTCTCTTCTTTAATTTTTTTTTTTTTGGTTTTCTGTTTGTGATAGTTTAGGAGATTCCAGGCACTGTGAAATCTCATAATCTCAAATGCTTCTCTTTTATTTTAGTGATCAACTATTATCTCCCACTAGATCTTCTCTTGAATTTGTTCATGTCCTTAAATTTTGGATAATCTGAACTGGGTTTACTTGAGTTATATTTTGGACGCTTTTACACGGATAATAATGTTCGTCCTTGATGGTTTTTTTTTTTCCATTTTAATTGTGTACGTGTGTGTAAATTTATTCGTTACCTTGGAAGAAAGATTCCATTTTTGGACTTTGAAGTGACCCTGAAAAAAAAAATTGAAATTCTTTCTATTTTATTTATTCGTTAATTATTTCCTGATTTTAAATTTTTTTTTGGTAGTAAAATGGATTTTTGGGCTTGATTTATTTGAAGTGGGAATGTATGATTAGCTTTGGTTACACTATTAATAGCTAGTTTGCAATGTCTACAATATATATAAATATATATATATATAAATTTTACCTTCCGGGAAAAAAAAAAAAACTGTCAAATAACACATTCACTGTGGGGACAACCCTCTACATTTTACTTGAGAGGTAGAGGAAACTATAACCTCGGTGGTTGCGATTTCTACAATATGGATGATGGTTTTTATAGTTTAAGTTTAGCGTTTATATAATTGCTGTGAGGATTGCAATGTTGGTTCTCTAATGTCTGTTATTTTCATTATTTTTTTTTCAGGGGAAAAGTGTTTGTTGGATCTTTTCTTGAGATCCTTGTAGCAAGGACAGATGGGTTTGTTTCTAGAAGAGAGGGGGTACTGGTTTGCAGAGTCTACGTAACTTCTGCGAGCTTAGCGTCCTCTCTTGTCTATCTTCGTCTATCCTACATTTATCTTTATATTTTAATTGCTGCAAGAGTTGCTTTTTTGATGTAAATGACTACCACATTTGGGTTTCTTGGTTGACATTGGAGAACTAAGGGTTGGTGGAGGGGTTTGAGTGGTCGGAATAGATTGAAGGTGGCATCATGGGTGGTGTTTGTTGCTGTTTGCTTGAGGATTGTGAAGATTGTGTTAATCCAAACAGCTCAATCTATAGGAACTGTATATGTCTCAGATGTTTTGTTCAGAACTTCTTACACATGGTATGTTTATAGTATTTATTTTTGCCTTTCCTCTCATGTTTCGTTTTCTATCCTATGTGGTATGAATTGGTGGAAATATGTCTTCTGAGCATGTGTCTTTTCTCCGTTTAATTTCATGTGTTGGAGCATTTTAGATAGTTTAGACTCGTATCAAAGAGTACTATGGTTTACATATATGCGGAAAGATACTTCTTTTGGTTCCAACAATATAGTACAGGGGTCATCCTCCACCCTCCTCCTTTAGGAACTGTATATTTTTCTGATGTTTTTTTCAGAACTTCTTACATGTGGTATGTTTATAGTTTATATTTTTGCCTCTCCTCTCATGTTTCATTTTCTATTCTATGTAGTATAAATTGGTGGAAATATGTCTTCTGAGCATATGTCTTTTTTCCCTTGAAGCTCATGTTGAGGAGCATTTTAGATAGTTTAGGCTCGTATCAACGAGCTTTTGGGTTTACATATATGCGTAAAATACTTCTTTTGGTCCCAACAACAAGACTTAGCAGTCATCCTCCACCCCCTTCTTTGGTCCCAACAACAAGACTTAGCAGTCATCCTCCACCCCCTTCGTCGCGGGTGTACGAGATAAAAACATTGTTTCTGAATTTTTTTTTCGAGGAAGACTACATTTCATCATAATGTTATTCAGATGCCAAACACTCTAGACTCTTATAGGTGCTGGAAATTAATACATGTAGAGTCTTTTACAGATGTAACTGGTGATGCGAGAAAACTTCGACTGCTATACTTTTACATCCATTAGCTGTTTGAAGTAGGCATCGTGCAACAATAGTATGTTTTGGTGAAAATGGGAGAGCGCTATAGTACTGCTTTTGACTTCTGCCATGTTAGACCTTGAGGTATTTTGATAGACTACTTGTATTGAGGAGTCACGTGGAAGAAGGGAATAGAGGTCTGTAGCAGTAGTGCTTTAGAATTTGGCATTTCCATCAAGCTAGAATAGGCAATCCATAGACTCTTTTCAATGTAATTTGCTCTATATTTCAAGTGCTGGACAAATTTCTTATAGTTGGTAAAACATAGAAACTTGATTTGGAATGGTCTTGGGTGATGAAGTTTGGGACATATTGACAACCATCATATAAGAGAGAGCCCTCTCTCTCTCTATCACACACACACACACTTTTTGTTTTAGCATAGAAAGTACTGATTCCATTCCACATATTTTTCATTCTTCTACTATAGCAAAGAGAATACATGAGCCATTCCAATTTTTATCATTCTTCTGCTAGGTATTCTTAAAGTTCTCTTCTGCTACAAATTATCTTAACTCGCTAAATATTTAGAAGCTAGCACTTCACTAGGAATTTATTTTGATTCTGGAATGGGAACTGCTCTTATATGCAGGTCTATCTATTGTAGCATTACAGTATGATTTAGTCACCCTAGACATGCTACTTGGTCTGCAAGGCTAAAACCCTGCTGAACTCGCGGTCTGGTTTGTTAAGTAGCTCAATAGGGCTTGTACGCTTGCTTGTAAACCTGGTTGGGGCAAAGGGAGACCAATTTGATGCTGTACCAACTTATTGTTGCTCATTGTGTGAATTTCCATAACCCGTACTAACCTTTATATGTAGGTCATATTATAGTTTAGTTTAGAGTGAATACATTGCAACAAGATAATACCTGACGTACTGATTTTTTATAATTGTAAGAAAGCAATACAACTTTAGTGATTGGAAATTAATTTTATTATTCAGTTGGGTGAAATTCCTAGTTTTTTGCTTTTCTTTTCTTGGGTAGTATACGACAATATTTCGGAGTGGGGAAGCACATGCCATCCCTTCATCCATGCAGGGGACAACATCTTTGACTTCAACTTCATCAGTTGATGACTCTCTTTCTGACATGTACCACTCTCCTCCGAGGCCATTGCCTTATGATGCTGATCCTAGATATATGCACTTTCAACGGGATGGACTGGTTTCTAGACGTGAGAAGGGCTCAAGTCACTCACACGAGGAATCCGTACTATTGAGAAGATGTGTCGATGATGCAGACGCAGATGCAGAATTTCAAAGTACTGGAGAGAAGTGGAATGAGTCTACATGTGAAGAAGGATTAAGAAAATACAATTCTAAGTCTTCAATGAGGCTCTCATCAGCAAAAATGACAACTGGATATGCACATATCTACTCTTCTTCAGAAGATGAAGATGTCTGCCCAACATGCCTTGAAGGTAAAAATATGTTAACATCGTTTTGAATTCAAAAATAGCTTGTGATAATCAACATTCCTTGGTGGATGAATTTAATAAAAAAAAAAATAGTGTACCTAGTGCCGCTCTTTCTCAGATGGAAAATGTTATTTAGAAAAGAACAAAATGCAGAGGACCTGACACTTGTTTTGTCATGAAAAGAATAAAAAAAGAAGAGGCCCTTATCTTTTTGTTTCCAAATCCTCCACAAAATGTTAAATAACTACAGCTTTCCAGATTTGGTCATTTGAGAAGAGTAAGGTTCATTGATATGCATTGAAGCTTCAATAACAATTTGCTGCTCTTACCCAATGGTCTTGCCTTTCCCTATTGTTGGGCCAAAGCTGTGAAACAACTGTGGTCATTCCTAAGCAGCATTGATGAAGTATGCCATCTTTTCCTGATGCAGGGAATTCCAAACTTACCTGAAAGTTCGAAGCACTGTACTGAAATGTTCTGATTCTTCTGTATCAATAGATTAATGCTGTTGTAATTTACAATCTAATTGTTCTGAACTTCTAAAATGCATTCTCTTATGCCTTTGCATGTACCTTCTACATGCAGAATATACTTCGGAAAACCCCAAGATAGTTACCAAATGCTCTCACCATTTCCACCTTGGTTGCATCTACGAATGGATGGAGAGAAGTGAAAACTGTCCAGTTTGTGGCAAGGTAACACATTCCATCTTTAGGCTGTCTTGAACTTTTTTTTTTTTCCCTTCTGGAAGGTAGGTTGTCTTGAACTTGTTTGTTTAAATTTTAGATGTTTTATTGACTAGCATGATTGGTTGCATGATTGGTTGTTACATGCGATATACCTTTTTACCTTCATCTTGTGCAATTTATTTCTTCATGCATAAAAAGGCATTCATAAAAAGAGGCTAGCCCAGTGCACCAGTCTCCCACCAGTGTGGGGTCTAGGAAGGGTTAGATGTAGGGGAGAGGCTGTTTCTCGTTATGAATCCCTGACCTCTAGGTCACAATGGAGCAATTTGCACCAAGGCTACTGCCACAAAAGGAATTCATAGTTTTGGATTATCAGTGTTTCTCTTCATTTTTGTGCAGTTCTCTTTGGTAGGATATTTATTCATGCTTGGTGGTAGTTTATTCAGGATGAGATTATGGTATATGTTATTTCCTGATGATATTTTTTAGTGCTAAATTCAAGGTTTGAAGGGGTAACTGCTAAAAAGATCCTAGGTCCTATTTATAGGCAAAATGGGGTAATTTGATGTAATGGGTAATTTCTATTGATTAAAGGGTGGAGGCTCGGATAGGATCTCCAAGACTCATAATAATTTAGATAAGGCTAAAAACTGATTGGTAAAGCTTTGATCTGATAAAAACTGACTAGTTATTTGAACAGGGATGATAACTCTTGATATGTATATGAAACAGAGAATTGAATTAATGGTCTTCAAAAAAAGCATTTTGGTTGTACTTGCTCTAATTATTCTTTGGGCAGGAAAGGAACCTTATTCTGTCAGGGGCTTATTTGTTATCACTTATATAATGTACTGAAACCTTCTTAGCATAAATAGGATGTGGTGGAAGGATGAAAGTATTCTTTCATTCTTTCTCTCTTTCCCAATCTATCTCTCTTTTTCTCTCCTCTTCCTTCTCTCCTTCTTCATGTTCTTCTACTTTACTCTTTTTTTGATTATCTCTTAAAGTCAACACCTTATTCCTCCTTAGCTTCAACTAAATGATAACCTGTCAGACTTTAAGACATCAATTCCTCTCTAAGTTAATTGAACCTAGTTAGGAGTGTCAGAACATCCTGCCTGTTACTGTATGCCAACTATCAGTTTATTACAGTGAAAAACTGAGAATCGATGAGAGAAGATAATAATTTGGGAAATTTTCACCACACTGAAATGATGGCGTCCTATTGTGTATTTGAAGTTACACCAATAAGAGAGAGATGGAGAGATTCTCTCAACAAACCTATCTAGATTTCCCTTTGACCTGATTTTCTGGTTTATCCAATATATCATTAGCCCACATTTTCCAGCCCAAATAAAATCTTGAAGATGGTGTAGTCTTATACTCCCAAGTCCCAACTCATGTATTTACACGGATAAAATGCCAGTCAAATTGCAAACAATGGGGTGTCTACAATGGGAAAGTATGTAGTTTAGCTCAATAGTTTCTGGAAATTTCTTCCAAAACATGTTTTTCAGGAAGAGTACTTTGAAAACCAATGCGAAGCTTTTCCAAACTTACTGGAGGTTTCCATTTTTCTAGAATCTAAACAATTACCTAAATCCGTTTAACCTTCAGTGTCTTTTACTGAATTCCAAATTACTTTTTGTTTTAGTATACTTTCTACATCCTAAATGGATTTAACAATCAAAAGAGAGAGGCCATTCATTACCCTTTGTGGTCCCCTTGAAGAGGCAGACTTGGTACATATCTAACACATTTCTTGTGTTTGGCAGCTTGAGTTTTAAAAAGCCTAAACACAATTCTCAACGATTGAATGCCTCAAATTCAGCAATAGCTAAGAGCAGAAAGTTATTTGCTGGGATAAATAAAAGGAAAAACTCCAGTTTTCCAAATTCACACATCTCCTTCTGAATAATAGCCTTCAAGTTAGTGCTCGAATTTTCTTGATCGGGGTGTATTCAGTTTCAACAGTTCTTTGGTTCACTAAATGTCAGTGTCTCAGATTGATGGAAGGGGACAAGGCAGAAAAAAATAAAGCTGAAAAATGCATTGTTCAGATTGATACGTCTTTACTAGAATATTTTCTTTTTCGTTAAATGCTGCACAATCATGTGGCATCTTTGATGCCTTGCAATGTGATTTTTAGCAAAAAGAACTGAATATATATCATAGTGGCATGACCTTCATTTATTATGCTTATGCCTAGGGGTTAGGCTTTTATCCATGTGAGCACCCAAGTAGGTAGTTCACCATGGAACATATAAAGTAAGTAACAACATGGCTTGATTAGTTGATTTTTATCAACTTGACATATGGCAAAGTCATGAATAATGTATAATATGGACAAAATGGGAATGAAGTATCTTCTGTCTGAATATATGCTTAATTTTGATCATGCTTTCGTATTGCTGGATTTCCAGGTGATGGAAATCGATGAGACCTCGTGAATCCGTGAACTTACTTGAGTGGTTTGGATTGTGGATGAAACCAGCAACAGACGGGAAAGGGTTAAAGTGTAAAAAGCCCTTGTGAATATCTCATGTTAAAGTGTTTGTATAACTTTATTTCAAAATATATTCTCTTCACACTGTTTTGCTTTTCCTCTTATTTTTTCTTACATTTTCACTAGAAAAAAAGAAAGAAAGAAAGAAGAATCTCTGTTTCCAAATCCCTTCTGTACAGTGAAAGAGAAGAATTCTTAAAACCAAAGGGGGAAAATATGAACCTATGACATGGTGAAGTGCTTGTTTTTATTACCTTCGATCTTTATGCCCTTGTGGATTCTCTCTCTGCTTCTAGTTACAGAACTGAAATTTCTATTGAAAGGGAGTAGGCTGAATTTCATAAATTAGCTTACTTCTGTAATTGCTCTTTCATGTGTATAATCAAGAATATGATTTCTTGCTCCAAATGTCTGATAAAGAAAGTTATATGTGTGTGTATATATATATATATATGTATATGTACATATTTATATATTTATATATGTATATATATGAGGGTGGGCTCTAGCACAACATTGAGGTTGTTCCACTGTGATATGAAAGTTGCATGGTCGAAACAGGAAATGACTTTTCCATGCAAAGGTCATTTAAAATTGGAGTTGGATGGGAATACAAAAGGATAATACATTTCTGGCACTCAGAGAATAATTTAGGAGAGGCTGTATACTCTCCAGGCTTTGCATTGGCAGGAGCTTAGATTGTAGAAACTCGTGTAGAAGTAAGGTTTAAAGGAACAGTGTTACGATGAGAGCGCCTTCATTGTAGTATTTTTCAGCTAAAAAGGGACTTCAGATGATAATTATTCACCATTTTCAGATTTTTTGTGAACCCCTTTTAAAGAATCAAACCAAAAGCATGAATGATTGCCATAAAATCTACATTTGTGGGACGAGCTACTAACATTCTCCTCACACGAATCTACATTTGTGGATGAGCCACTCTTCTCACCTAAACTAGCAATGTTGTAGTTGGGATGAGCCACTCTTCTCACCTGAACTAGCAATTTTGTAGTTGGATCACCCTGTTTACCGAGCAGACAATCCGGACTGGCACAACATTGAATCAAAAGGTGTCCGGACTGGCACAACATTGAATCAAATGATTGGTCGGACTTTGATACCAACTGAGTAGTGCTAGATACCAATCCATATCTGGATCCAATGTGGGATGAGTCCCTCTAACACCTATCCGATCATGCTTAACTAGGTTCCAATAGGTTCCGAATGTGAATGGAATCGTGGAGGAAAGGGAAAAGGAAAAGCAGAAGTTGAGAGGGAAAAGGAAAAACAGAAGTTGAGAGAGTTGTATAGAGAGCAATGCAGATAACCATTATAAGGAGTTAGGCTATATGGCTCTGCAAGATTCAATATAGTCACATGACCAATTTAAGGTGTATGGAACTTGGTAGTGTTTGGATAAAAGGGTAATCATCCACAACAGTGTTCACTGTGTCTCCAACAGACTTTTATACAAGAATCACAGGACACAGTGCAAACGATTTTTCAGGAAACAATTACCAGGCTATGTAATATAGCACTGTCAATGAGAGCAAAGCAGATCAAGTTCTTCCTATCTTTTGTCTCTCTTTCTTCTCTCCTATACTCCCAGTTATTTGCACCCTATAATTCATTTGTAATGAACAATATCTTTTTCGAATACACTTAATATATGCCCATTTATATATATATATAAAATCATCTTCATAGTCATTGGTTCTAAATTTTATTACATACTTGTATCAAACATGAGTTCCAAGATCCTCACACTCGATGCATGATAGAGGAAAAGATACACTGGGCAAGCCACTTTATTTTCAAGAGTACGGCGATATAAGTTGCATCTTTTCAGAAGATGGTATATAAAATCATATGGATGCTAGGTCCTTCCACTCGCAGCCACTTGAAAAGCTCTCAGGAAGACATCAGGGGGTTGGCCACCGCTCAGCTGGTGCTTGCCGTTAATCTGTTAGAAGAGCCATTTTAGTGGAAGAACTAGCATGTATAGTCACAATTGTAACGGAAATTGAATGTGTAGATTTGATTGTTGAATTACCCACCACATAATTTGGGACTCCGGTAATATGTGCTGAGTACTTCTCAAGATCTTCATTGACCTGCATAGTTGATAGAGATAAAAACTCAGTTCGTTCATGGATATCGGAGAAAAAAAAGCTTATTATCCCATTTGATTGCCTAGAGCATGGAAGAGAACGATATAAAATCTTAAATCAATTTTTTAGTCTTCATCATTTTCTCCTCTTTATTTTAGTAGGCTATCTGGCTGCACTGCATTTGATGGTTTTTAAATCTTTTCTGCTAGGTAATCTAGTACCCTTGTGCACGAACATCCTCAATTCAGTAAAGTAAGTTACGGGAGAGGTTCAAACAAGGAAAGGCTAACTGTGGATAGTGATACCTAGGCACCTAGAGAGGAGGAAGGGCGTGGTAAGCAACAAAATGCTTCGGGAATATCTTTTATCACGTCATGAATCTTTAGACAGACTAATTACTAGTCTCATCCGATTTTGAAAACTGAAATTAGGTATCTTATGGCAATTTGGGTAGAGAAAGCTATTGTAGGGTTTATGAATTTTATTTTCCTCGGCCAACTTGGCAGCCAAAAGGTGAAGAAGAATAAACATAACACTGTGCTGCTTGCCAATGGATACAAATAAATTAAAACTTGAAAACTTACAGCAGCCAGCTCAACAGTTCAGTTCCATTTTTTATTTTTATTTTTTAAGATCTCAAGTTATAATTTTTCTTGCATTGTCTTCCTAGAAATAAATTCAAGCATAAAGTAGTTCTAAAAGAGATTACCTCCTTCAGTCCATTATTGGGGTCCTCAAGAAACTCTGCTGCTCCTTCTATTCCAACCTTCCTAGCAGATTCCACAAGAAATTCCCTGCAACGTCAATGGCTGTTGTGAAGATCTGTTGAGATTTGGAAAGATCACTAACTCTGTACAAGACAATATTATTCATGATAAAAGCTCCATTTTACCAGTGTACTAATTCTTCATTTAATGATTTCTCCACTGAAAACTTCTATTAGTTCTACTTCTAACTTGGTTTCATCAGATAAGTGGTTGCAGGCCTAAATGATGATTCATCACAATCATTTGAACCATCCAGAGAAGTGCTATTGATTGAATGAACAATCCAAAAGGATTGAAATTAAATGAAAATCGGATAATCCCTTGATGTGAACCCCCTATCATCAGAACTCATCGAACCCAGAATTGGCCCTCTATGGTATCCACGAGTTTTTCAATGCTTCAAAAATTTATTAGATGCTATTGGCATGCAATAAAAGATATTAAAATGGACATCAGATGGAATCACTTTTTTTTATCCTCATCTTTATTTATTCTTGATCTGTAGGGCAGTGGGCTACAAAAGTGACATGAACATCAAACATGAAGATCATTCTACAAGGAATAGGCTCAAATTGTTCCCCTTGGACAAGGGTGAAGAAGGATTGTTTAAATCAAATTTCGGTAAGACATGCCAATGATAAATTTCTTGTGCATGAATTTGCATCTATAAAACTAAACACACGCGAACTTGAGTATTTTATTTTGTAAAGGAAAAAACTCAAAGTTCCATGAAATTATCCTACTTAAAAATACAGCTGGCAGTTCCAAGAAAATTTAAATGTGAAGCACCATAAAAATTTGCATATAGAGACGTGTGTTTAAAATTGAAGATTATCGGAAATTTTTTTAACTAAATAAATAAAATAAAATCAAATTGCACTTACCTGTCACCTATATACTTTGCCTGTGTGAAGTAGCCAAGGAACAGCTCCTCCATGAGACTATGTTGCTTACCAACACCCTGTTTCCCAGCAAAATATGTAAGCCTGTGGCTATCCAGAGTATTTCCCCTGCATGTTCAAAACATTGTTGAGTGATATCACTACATAAACCATTCTCACACTTCACAGCTTTCCCTTCTTAATGAAATTTCTGTAAAAGATCTATAATTGAAACTTACGTGAGTCCGGACATGTTGTATTCCATCCCAAGACCCTTAAAAATCTGCAATTCAAAGCTCTCAGAATGACTTATCACATGATAGCCAAACTAAATGTAATACAGTCCCATAACATCTATGTTCACTTTTCAAGGGATGGGAGCAAACAACCTCTGTCATCCGAGCTAAAATTTGTTCAGCTCGAGACCCAAACTTGCTCCTGTAAAACTCTCGCTTGTCCACGCCTTCTTTAGGGGCAGAAGGATTCAGAAAAAAGGGGTGCCATCTAATCTGCGAATATGAGAGAGATTGATTCAGATTGGAAAATATACGTTAGAAAAACATAAAACATACATATGCATATAAGAAGAGAAGAATATCAGAACCTCGAAATCATATTGATTATTTGATGAAGCTATAGCTTTGTCCAGATTTCTTTTGCCCACGAAACACCAAGGGCATACAGTGTCTGAACTAACATCAATTTGAATAAGCTTTCTGCCAGTTGATTGGGCCATGAATCTGGTGTATTTGAAAGCTCCCTGAAAAATGACCATTTGGTGTTTCATATTCAACAAGCAAAGACTGAGAAAAACGATTATTCTTCAAAAGCTTATAATCAAAGACAAACAATACTAAAATCCCATGGACCTTTGTGTTAAACTTTGATAAGTCGGTGGAAGGGGATGGATTGATTAGCTCTGATTGAAGTGTTGGAATTCTGATAGTGTTATGGCAGATCTGATATCCGAAATTGAAAATGAGGCCAAGAAAAGATGCAACAATAACAATCCAAGTAACACACAATAATTAATGTGGTTTGGCTTAAAACCTACATCAATGGGCGAGGACGATAGAGAGATGAAGCTTCAAGATGGCTGCCTTGCACAACTAAGTACAAGTCCACTATACAGATGAAGGTCACAAGATGACTACTTCTCACAACCAAAAGCCCTGATCCTCCTACCAAAAATGAGTTCGTCTCTCAAAAAAACCAAGTTGGCCCTTATATACACAGGTTTAACATACAAAAGAACACTTTCTATTGCAACCCAAAATAAAATCCAAGTTCAAGACACCATCACAACATAAAATTGTCCTCAAGAGGACAGGTAATTGTTGTTTGGGAATTATCCCACAATCCACGTTTGTTCAATTAGCAGATTAGCTGAAGCTTCAGCTCTGGTATCATCTCCTTTAAGCATATTATGAATTATAAAATGCATTTTAATTGATATAGAATAGTTGTAAATTGTATGGAAGATCAGATAAAATGCCCATTTTTGAAGAAAGCAATGCCTTTATCATAATGTAAAATTCCATAATTTTAACCCAGCATAGAACGGAATCAAATAGCAGTTCATTTTTATAATTCAGGCTATATTCTTTCAAAGGATAGAATCTGAGAAGATAAAGCTACAAAAATTATTTGGCTCCATCAACAGGCAACCTTTGGCTCCTGCTATTTCGGGGTCTGAGGATGGTCAAATGTACGCAGCCTTAGGCTGTTTCTGTTTCCAGTTTCAAACCTTTCAATTATCTGAAATTAAATTAATGGTAATTCAACTAAACTCTAATTCGAGAGTCGAAAGTTCAATATATCGTGCAGTGCATCAAAGATTTACACAAGCCAACTATTTGTTAAGCAGGTAGCCCTTTGCCCTAAGAGAAATCCATGAAGAGATAAATTTTGGATCATTCTCCAAACTTTGACCATTATTAATCAGAATTAGAAAACGTTTTCAGATAGTATTCAGCCATTCAAAACAATCTGCAGCAATTAGGACAGCCAAGAGCAAACCCAATTTACAAATAGGAAAATTCACAAAGCACTGAAGCAGGGTCGACAAAATCACAATTTTCTGGATGTTTAATTCAAAGTTTTTTCCTTTCAAACCCCGAAGGCCCAGACCCAGATGATATTGGATATATAATGCTTAATTAGAAATGTTTTTTTTTTCGCTTTTTTTTTTTCGATTAGATTGGTAAAATATACAACAATTCAGCGAGTTCACCATAATTGAATACAAATTACATCATGAAAGCAGTGAAATAAATTTTGAAAGAACATGAGCAATTACTAAAAGAGTAACCTGGAAATGTCTGGAAACCAGATGAGTATTGAGCAGGATGCCTATTTTTTTTTGGGTAAGTAGCAGGATGCCTATTTTCTTGCGAAGCAAACACGTTTTCTTCTCGATATAGTTTGGTGGGAAGTCCTGGAGAAAAAGGGTTGGTTACAATCACAGATGATGGAAACAAAGTAGTGTAAGAAAGATCCATTTGTTTTTTAAAAAAATGCATAAAAAGGGAAATTGTCTGTTTTTTAAGCCACCCAAAAAAAAAAAAAAAAGGGGATATTTTTTTTAGTAGGATGATATAATAAAACATAGCATATTAAAACGAGAACATAAATAATAACTCTATTTTCTTTCCCGTTCATCTTTTTTATTTTGAAAATAAAAATATTATAATAGAATGGTCATTGTGATTTCTTTTATGCTCTGTTTGGGCATGAAATTAATTAGAGCCTTGTAATTGGAATAGATAGAATTGGAGAAAATTTTAGTTTTATTTTTTGAATTACTTTTCTCTAATTCCAATTCCAAAACTCCAATTTCATGGTTATCAGATTCATATGATAAATAATATTTGTCTCACTTTAGGTTTAGATAAATTATATACATGAATGTTTAACTTTTATTACTTTAATCTCTCTTAAGATTTGATGCATGTGTTCAACGACACCTCAAATTTTTGTTTTTTTTTCCATGTAAATTTATTGACCAAATTTTATAAAATGATAATTTTATCTTTTTCTTGTATGAAAATCTTGCCCACTTAAAATCACATTTGAGTTGAACGATCTAATTTGTGTATAATTTGTCTAAATTTAAAAGAAAGTGAGTGTAATTTACCATTTCTTTTATCTACTCTTGCCTGAAAAAAAAAAAGAAAAAAAAAAAATTTGAGAAACAGAATGAGAAGTTAGACTTGGTCCCCCACATTCATGGATTGGAAATCAATATTTTGATTTTCTATTTGGGACAACTTCTCACATTTTTATACAATGTATGACTTTGAGAGATACAGTGATGGTTGGACTTGGTCCCCACTCCCCCACGTTACTGGATGGGAAATCACTAAGTTGACTTGTTATTTGGGACAACTTCTCACATTTTTATCCAAAATATGACTTTATTTGGAGTTAAATGTTGTTCAAAGGTTAGGATATTTCTTCAATATATTTATAATATTTACTTTTGAAGGATATGTTTAGTGACAAAACAAGAGTAAACGTTCAAAGGGTTAGGATATTTCTTCAATATATTTACTTTTGAAGGATATATTTAGTGACAAAAAAGAGTAAACCGAAACCGACCGGGTGTAATAATATATAGTTACTAGGGTTTTTTGAAATTAATTACTAGGGTTTTTTGAATTAACCCAATTTCATTTTAGAAAATTTTCAAAACCTAAAAATACACCTACACCAATTTTTATCTTAACAAGAAACTCACCACTTACCAATTAAGCTCCAACTGGTAATGGGATTGTTGAGGGAAGGAAAAAGGAAGAACAAAAATGGAGGGGCTTGTATAGAGAGTTATTTGAACATTTTCGAACACACTTAATATATGTCAATACATATATGTATATAATCATCATCATAGTCATTAGTTCAAAATTTTATTACACACTCAATGCATGATACACTGGGCAAGCCACTTTATTTTCAAGGGTAGGGAGATTATAAGTTGCATCTTTTCACAAGACAGACAGTATATAATAAAATCATATGGTTTTGCTAGGTGCTGTCTCTTGCAGCCACTTGAAAAGCTCTCAGGAAGACCTCCGGGGGCTGGCCACCGTTCAGCTGATGCTTCCCGTTAATCTGTTAGGAGAACCGGTTTAGTGGATGAACTATAATGCAGAGTCATAATCATAATTGAAATTGAAATGTGTAGATTTTGATTCTTGAATCACCCACCACATAATTTGGGACTCCAGTAATATGTGCAGAGTACTTCTCAAGGTCTTCATTGACCTGCATTGTTGATAGACAGCAAACTCAGTTCGATCATGGACATCAAAGAAACAAAGATTATGACCATATTTAATTGCCTAAATCATGGAAGAGAAAATATATAAAATTAATTTTGGTATTTTATGGGAATTTGGGTAGAAAATTATGAATTTAAAAGGAGCAGAAGAATAAACAAAACACTAAAAATTAAAGAAACTTCAAAACTAAAAGTTCAGTTCCTTTTTTATTTTATTTTATTTTGTTTTTAAAGATATTTCAGGTTTTGATTTCTCTTGCATTGTCTTCCTAGAAATCAATACAAGCATGAAGTTCTTAAAGAGATTACCTCCTTCAGTCCATTATTGGGGTCCTCGAGGAACTCTGCTGCTCCTTCTATGCCAACCTTCCGAGCAGATTCCACAAGAAATTCCCTGCAATCAGGTTGCACATGTCAATGGCTGTTGTGAAGGTCTGTAAAGATTCGGAAAAGTCACCAACTCCATACGAGATAATTTTATTCGTGATAAAAGCTCCATTTGCACCTCCATTCTCCATGATGAAAACTTCTTTTAGCTCTACATTGTTTCATCAGCTAAGTGGTAGTAGACCTAAATGACGGCTAGTCACAATTATTTGAAACTCCATAAAAGTAGTTTTGATTGAACGAACATTCAAAAAGGTTGAGACTAAGTGAAAAATTGGATAACCTCTTAACGTGAACCCCCTATCATCAGAACTCATTGAACTTCAAAAATTCATTAGATACAAATCGCATTAATTAAAATAGACATCAAATGGAATCACTTTTTTTTATCCTCAGCTTTATTTATTCTCCATCTTTAGGGCAGTGGGCTACAAAAGTGACATGAACATCAAACATGATGGTCATTCTACAAGGAATAACCTCAAATTGTTCCACTTGGACAAGGGGTAAAGAAGGATTGTTTAAATCAAAGTTCGATAACACACGCCAATTATAACTTTCTTGTGCATCAAACATGCTCTCAAAAAAAAAAAATAATATTGCACTTACCGGTCACCTATAAACTTTGCCTGTGTAAAGTAGCCTAGGAACAGCTCCTCCACGAGACTATGCTGCTTACCAACACCCTGCTTCCCAGCAAAATATAATAGCCTGTGGCTATCCAGAGTACTTCCCCTGCATGTTTCAAAACAATGTCAAGTGATATCACTGCATAAATCATCCTCACTCTTCACAACTTCCCCTTCTTGACAAAGTTCTTGTAAATGAAAAATACTTGAAACTTACGTTAGTCCGGATTTGTTGAATTCTAGCCCAAGTCCCTTAAAAATCTGCAATGCAAAGCTCCCAGAATGAAGAATCACACGATAGCCAAATTAAATGTAATGCAGTCCGATAATGTAAAATTTCACTATTCAAGGAATGGGAGCAAACAAACCTCTGACATCCGAGCTAGCATTTGGTCAGCTCGAGATCCAAACTTGCTCCTGAAGTACTCTCTCTTGTCAACGCCTTCTTTAGGGGCAGAAGGATCCAGGAAAAAAGGGTGCCATCTAATCTGCTAATAGACTGATAGTAAATCAGACTCGAAAACATACGTTGGAGCATCATAAAACATACACAAGCATATAAGAAGAGAAAAATATCAGAACCTCAAAATCATATTGATTATTTGATGAAGCTATGGCGTTGTCCAGATTTTTTTTGCCCATAAAACAAAATGGGCACACAGTGTCTGAACTGACATCAATTTGAATAAGCTTTCTGCTAGTTGATTGAGCCATGAATCTAGTGTATTTGCAAGCTTCCTGAAAAATGACCATTCGGTGTTTCACATTCAACAAGCAAAGACCAAGAAAAACCATTATTCTTCAAAAGCCTTAATCAAAGACAAACAATACTAAAATCCCATGGACTGTTGCCCTAAACTTTGTGCTAAATTCTGATAGTGTTATTCTGATATCCGAATTGAAACAAGACCAAGAAAAGATGCAAAAACAACAATCCACGGGAACATGGTTTGGCTTAAAACCTACATCAATGGGCGAGAAAGATCGAGAGATGAAGGTTCAAGATGACTGCCTCTCACAACCAAGCTCACTATACAGATGAAAGTCACAAGATGGCTGTTTCTCACAGCCAAAATTGTCCGAAAAGATGCAAAAACAACAATCCACAGAACACACAATATTTAATGTGGCTTGGCTTAAAACCTACACCAATGGGCGAGAAAGATCGAGAGATGAAGTTTCAAGATGGCTACCTCTCACAACCAAGCTCACTGTACAGATGAAAGTCAGAAGATGGCTGCTTCTCACAGCCAAAATTGTCCTCAAGAGGGCCGGTAATTATTGTTTGGGAAGTATCCCATCATTCACATATGTTCAATCAACAGATTTTTTTTTTAGCTTCAGCTCGAGTGTCATCTATTCATCTCCTTTACGCATATTACAAATTATAAAATGGATTTGAATTGATATGGAATTATTGTAGATTGTATGGAAGATCAGATAAAAAGCCCATTTTTGAAGAAAGCAATGTCTTTGTGTCAAATTTCATGGTTTTAACTAAGCAGAGAAGGGAATCAAATAGCGGTTCATTTTTTTTAAAAATATAATTCGGGCCATCTTCTTTAAAAGGATCGAGTGTGAGAAGAGAAAACTACAAAAAATTGTTTGGCTCCTCAATATGAAAAAATGACTAGCCAGGTGCATGAGGGGGCTGTCACTGCAGAGTCTGAGGAGAGTTTGATGTAGGCACTTTTAACTCTACGTGTGATTAGATTTTGAGGAGAGTTTGATGTACGCAGAGTCCGAGGAGAATTTGATATATGCACTTTTAACTCTACATGGAAAGGCTGTTTCGGGTTTCGAACCAAATTAATCAATTTGAGGTTCAATATCTCTTGCATTGAAGCAGAGATTTACACAAGCCAATAATTTGTTAAGCATGTGGCCCTTTTCCCTTAGAGGAATCCACGAAGAGGTAAATTTTCGATCATTCTCCAAACTTTGACCTTTCTTAATCAGAATTAGAAAACATTTTCAGATATTGTTTAGCAATTAGATGATGTTGGATATATAATGTTTAATTACAAATGGGTTTTCTTTCTTTTGATTAGATTGGTAAAATATTCAACAATTCAACGAGTTCACCAGAATTGAATACAAATTACATCAGGAAAGCAGTGAAATAAAATTTGAAGAACATGATCAGCAAGAACCAAAAGAATTAGCAGGCATAGAAAGTGAGAAAAAAAAATATATTTATATATAATTATACAAAAACTAACCTGGAAAAGTCTGGAAACCAGATGAGTACTGACTACTGAGCAGCAGGATGTGTATTTTCTTGCGAAACAAACACGTTTTCTGCTTTATACAGTTTGGTGGGAAGTATTGGAGAAGAAAAGTTGGTTACGGATTAAAGAAAGTCAAAGAATGCATAAAAAAGAAAGAAAATAAGTAATTATTTATACTGTCGTCTTCATATACCAAAATAAAAAATAAAAAAAGAAAGAGATATTTTATATGAAGACGACAGTATAAATAATTACTTATTTTCTTTCTCTTCTTCTCTTTCATGGTTGGTCTCCACGCTAATCTTTTAAAAATCACTTCTTTGACTTTTTATCCCTAGTTTAAGTTGTAGACCTTAATCATCTAGATGATTGGACTTCAAAGATATCATTTAATATTATATTTATATACCAGAGTGATGCTCAAATGAAGTTTTAACCCATGACACTTTATAATAACATTTATCTTTTTATTGTGTTCCTTTATAAATATTGAAACACAATCTAATCATTTAAAAAGATAATTGTATAAAGATTATATAATTAAAATTTTGTATTAAAATTTATTTAAAATAGATTACATAAGTCTATTTATTTCAATCAAATTACACTATTAAATTTGATCAAGCAAAGTTATTTTTCTTTTTAATTTGTATTTTTGCTAATAATGCAAGTGTCTCGTATAATTTTATTTTATGACATTTTAAATTATTATTATTATTTTTTTTACAATAACATAACTTTAATATTTATAATATGATGATATAATTTGTGCATTATTTTCTTTGTCCAAATAGTAATTTAAAAGAGAGCTCATGAAAAATATTGTGCTCAAAGATTTTGTAAAAGCATTACTCAAGTTAAAATTAAGAAAATATTGGTAATAATTTTTTAAAACTAAGGCCAATTTTGTAATTTAACATTAAGTAATAATTTTGTAATTTTAAACAATTTTTGCAATTTAACATTATTTAATGGCCCATTATTATTTTTGACTTATTTTGAGAATTCTTTATCAGAAAAAAAAAAAAATAAAAATAATCAGGTGGTACTATTTAATCTTGAAGATTCGGTTATGCAACAGTGGTACTGGAGCACGGACAGGTTCACCAAACCTTCTCCCAAGGTTCTCGGAACCTCAACAATACAATCCAATCTCTCATTTTTTTTTTTCTCGTTCTCTCTCTTCCCAATTTAATCATTCCAATTTAATTTTATCTGAAATTTAGATATCCAATTACACTTCATTTCTTCAGATTCAGTCCTTCAGATTCAGGTACATTCTCTCTTCCCTCTTTCCTCGGATCGAATTTTCTCGTTCATTTCCTTTCTGTTTTTGCTTTCTTTCCTTTTCGGTTTTCTAGTTTGTCACTAGTGTTGTGTGTGTTGCGTTGAATTGAATCAATTCGAAATTTAGATTTTCCCTTAACTTTGTTTAGTTATGCGTTTGGTTATGAGAAATCCCAAGGAAAAGGAAAGAATAAAAAAAAGAAGGTATACGCACTTGAGTATCTTTTGTTTTCCTCAGGTTTCTTAGCGACCAAACAGATCATTTTGATGTAATAAGGATGGAATCGTTTGGTTTATGCATACCCTTTTGCCCCTAATTTCACTTCTCTTGATTCCTGCTGTCAAATTCAGAATTTTCTGTTTCAATTAGTTTTTGGTAACACAAATTTTGGATTTTGAGCTAGTCTGGGTCTCAATTTGTTCAACTCTCATTGCACACATTGTTGAATTGCATCTTAATCATTGTTGTTGTTTGAATTGCTTAATTATGTTCTGATTACTATGGCTTCTAGGTTTAAAATGGATCTTGATGACATTTTGGGTGACTCCCGGCCTGCGAGCCTTCCAACCAAGAGTGCAATTTATGTATGGGGCTATAACCAGTCTGGGCAAACGGCTAGAAAGGGTAAAGAGAGGAACTTGAGGATCCCGAAGCAGCTCCCACCTGAGCTTTTCGGATGCCCTGCCGGCATTAATTCACGCTGGTTGGATATTGCTTGTGGCCGAGAGCACACTGCGGCGGTGGCCTCAGACGGGTCGCTTTTTACTTGGGGTTTGCTCTCTGCTCATGCATTATGCTTAAGTTTGTTATTTCATTAAAGTTTGAAACTTATTTTCATTGGATTTATTGGTGATTTACCACAAAATATTTTCTTAGGTTAGGATTTATGTTTCTTGTGATTTTTTTCACTTGAGTAGAAGTCATATTCTCAATCCCAATTTATGTGGTGTTGCTCTGTCCAAATAAAATTTAACATATCTATGACTCCTGTGATTTCTTTGCTCATTGTTGACCATTTTACACTGCAACTGGGTCCTGACCATGGGCGCTTAAATCCATTCTCACTGCCTGCAAAGGCAAGGAAATGAGGATGATTGGTGAACTTGTGGTGGCTTATTTTCTTGTTATACAAGAAGAAACGGAAGTGTTGAACTGAGGATTTGATTATTTTTCCCCTGCATAGACTTTTTCTACTAGCTACCACTCCCTATTAGCTTCATCCTTGTATTTCCAATATAAGATGCATGAGAATTTGAATGCATGGTAAAATAACAAGGAAGTTTGAATATAATTGCAGCGCATACATGAGATGTAGAATATAACCCTAATTGTAATATAATTTTCCAAAATGGCACGGAAGATTTTAGTTACTGATGTCCTGCAGAGAGATCCTGACGTCTTTTGGAGCTGTGAAAATCTTGATTTATAATTTTTGTTGTTCTTCACCTTTTTTTTTTTTACTTCTTATAATTTGTTGTCAGAAGTAGTCAATTGTATATTTAGTGCTATTCTAGCATATAGCATTCAATCAATTTAGATGCAATGTTATATATTTGTTCATGCTATTAACTTGGTACAATCAACACAACATTTACATTTTGTCTATCTGTATATTAAAAAATAAATTGTAAAAAATATATACTTTTTTCTCAAGCTCATATGTTTGAGCTAAAATGGTTCTTATAAAAAAAAAATCAGAGGAAAAACACCTTGAAGGCTCTATTTCTATATGGAATGGAAAAACGCCTTGAAGGCTCTATTTCTATATGGAATAAATTATTCATGTATTTTTAACAGATTAGGAGAGCATCACTATTCTTCTAAACTTTGTTTTTCTAAAAAAAAAAAAGAAGAAAAAATCTTAGAAAAAATTTATCCGGTTAAAATCAGAGCCTTTAGTATTGTACCAAAGAGGTGACATCCTAAATATCAGGAGATTGTTGAGATTTAGGTTTGTCTCACTGAGTTTGATAGGAGAAGAACAGTCAAAAAGGGAAACCAATTAATGAGCTGAGGAGTCCTGATTATGGTTGGTTTAAGCATAATTATAGCTGCTGAATTGTTGCATGGATAAACATGTATTTTCCTTGTAATGAAAACTGTGTTTTTTAATTGCTTATAGCCTTATACCATCAGTAACCAATTCTGCATGAGTTTTCAGGGGCAAATGAATTTGGCCAATTAGGGGATGGAACTGAGAACGGTAGGAAACACCCCAAGAAAGTAAAACAACTGCAGACTGAATTTGTAATATCAGTATCTTGCGGAGCCCATTGCACTGCTGCTATTGCAGAACCGCGTGAAAATGATGGAACCATCTCATCTAGAAGACTTTGGGTTTGGGGGCAAAATCAGGTAGTACTTGTTATTCCTTTAGGTTCATCATTTCTTATCTTTTAATAGATCCTTCTAAGTATCTTTTGTTTTTTTTGTCTTCTCAGGGCTCTAATTATCCACGTTTGTATTGGGGAGCCTTTACTCCAAATACGGTATTTGATGTATTTTTGATTTACTACAAGGATAAAATTGAATATGCAACTGTTTCATTTATGGGCAATGGCCAGACCTTAAACAAGATTCCTAATCAGTGCCATATAATATAAGAATAATTAACTATAGTAACTTACACTAGTTATTGCAGTTGGAATTTTCCTTTTCAAATATGAATCGGTAACTCTTAGATTCTCAAATGTATATGGTACTCATACCTTCTTGCTTGGAACTGTGTCATCCCAGTTATCTATCAAATATTTTACAACATCGGGATGATTTCAGACTTTATTTGTGAATTTAATCTTTGAACTTCTTTTACCTTTAAGAGTGGTCCCTTGTCATTTGTTTGATAAGTTTAATCTGATGCATGGATTTGCGTCTAAATGTTCTGAACTGTATGATAATTAAGGCATCTGTACAAAATCAAGCTGATATTCTTGAGTTCATTTGTTGATTCTGCATGACCTGGTTGCTTTACAGACAGATAGTATTTCCTATCAAAAGAACATGAAAATGTTCCTCCACTCTTTTTTTTTTTTTTTTTTTTAACTTCCAATTTGCATATTAATATTGAATCATTTCATTTGTTTCAGACCATTCGCCAAGTTTCTTGTGGGGCTGTCCATGTTGTGGCTCTATCAGAGGATGGCCTGCTTCAAGCTTGGGGTAATACATTTCTAAATTCATGATTTAGTGCTATACTTTTTCTCCTCTTTCTCTGAAATACAGTTCATACATTCCATGCAACCGTCTTCTATGTACTCAGTTAATTTCTTTGATGAAAGATGTATGAATATGTGTGTGCAGATATATTAATGCACAGAGTTTGTATCTGATCATATATACTTACCTGCCTTTCTAATATTTCATTCACAATACACGTCAGAAAGGACGACTATGTCTTCATTCTCCGGTGTCAGGCAATGAATTAATTAAAATTTAATCACTGTTCTGATAAACCAGGCTACAATGAATATGGTCAGCTTGGAAGAGGTGTTACTTGTGAGGGACTTCAGGGAGCTCGTGTTATAAGTGCGTACGCGAAGTTCCTTGATGAAGCCCCTGAGCTTGTGAAGATAACCCAAGTGTCATGCGGGGAGTACCACACTGCAGCTATTTCAGAGAAAGGCGAGGTGTAAGTGATCTGAAGGACCTTTCTTGATGGGATAAGTTCTATTTTTAAGCAAAAGAATTGTGGTTATCCGCATGGCACAGGTGAAATTGTTTGATGGTTAAAAAAACATTTCTTATGGAGATCTCAGTAGTCAGCAGACAGGATGCGGTGGATGTGATACACCTTGATTCACGAGTTTGGTCCCGCAGCTTGGCTATCTACGCCACTGAAAATTACTTTATTCTAAATGTCTTGTAGTTCATGCTACTAACTTATGCATTTTACTTTTGCTTTTAATATTTTCTCTTCATATTGCTTAGATACTGATGGGAAATGGTACTGTTCTGTAAATTTGTACTTGTGAACACATGCATGTGTATTGTCTGTATTATTGTGCGATTAAGGGGTATTTGAGTTTCCCATATAATGGGTGGATACGGCATTAGGGGATCTAAAACTGGAGTGGCACCTAATTATTTATTTGGTTCTTCCTTTTAAGTTTGTTTTGCCCTCTGTTTCTCCTTTTCTTTTGTGCTTTATATATATAGCTAGAGAGAGTCAAAACGACATGCATGTTTCCTGTTACCCTTACAAATTTTATACAAATTCTCTCTAGGTATAATATATGTATATATATCCAGAAAGAGTTCGCATATTAATTGATCATTAATATGATCAATTATATGTTTTAATTAAAGAGACGCTGCAAAGATAATATCATGTTCACTGTGTGATGTAAATTTGGAGTCAACCTATTTAAATGCCACAATGCAAGTTAATCATCAATAAAATTTATTGAAGACGAGGATAACTCTCTCTCTCTCTCTTTCCTCCCCCTGAATTGTTATTCTTTGCTGTTGTTCCTTTCTATGCCTTGAAAAATATTTCTTGGAATTGTTTTTTATAGCTCAAGTGTCTTAGATTTCAATTATATATATATATGTATGTATTTTCTCTTGTTTTCCATTTTTTTTTGGTATGCTTTTTACTTCATACATGCACATTTGTCTAGTCACGTCCAGAGGTTGGGATTATTGGGTTTCTCAAGGCTGGACACAAACTTGGTACTTGTGCAGTTGCACCATTTACCTACATGCATGGTACCATCATCTTTTTTTTTTTTTTTCTCCCCCCCCCCCCCCCCCCCCCCCCCTTTTTTTTTGTAAATGAACATGTCACCATCCTTGGTCTGTATGGTTTTATTTGATTTGACTTGAGGAACAATACAATAGTTTGTAACTTATAGCAATTAATCATTAATGGTAGTTAACATTTCCCGAGCCAATGTCGTATGTATTAAATTTCTTTAATGTCGAGGGCCTTCAATTAAGAGCATAATTTCTAGTTAAAGAATTCTGATCCCCTCAATTCTAAGCATCTTTTATATTCTTTTAGTATTTTTGGTGTTTCCATCAAATTTTTTGCATAGGCTTCATTCTATTAGAATAACATTGGTAGGTCCTAATTGAATGACCCATTTAGTTGCAGATCACATAAAAATAGTTCCACTTGAAGAGAGAAAAAATGTAGTAGTTCCATATTTAACATAGTTATTTACTCGCTGAGTTAATTGAATACAGTTTCCTATATATTTTGCATATTGATCCTGGCAGTCTCTGTTTTTTGAGTTTATTATTCCATATTTAACATAGTTATTTACTAGCTGAGTTAATTGAATTCAGTTTCCTATATATTTTGCATATTGATCGTGGCAGTCTCTGTCTATTGAGTTTATTATCTGGTTCTGGATGGACTATTTTCATTCAAGATATCCTCCACCCTTTCACTTTTCGATTGCTTTGAGGTCATTTTTTTCATAGCATTTCAAATTCTGGCAAATTCTTTATCATTTGCATTATTTCTTCTTGTTTTCACAGCTATACCTGGGGGCTAGGAAATATGGGTCAACTTGGGCATTGTTCTCTTCAGTATGGGGATAACGAGTTATTACCTAGGCGAGTGGTTTCCCTTGACGACATATTCATAAAGGATATTGCATGTGGTGGTGTGCATACATGTGCTATGACTGTGAAAGGGGCTCTTTATGCTTGGGGTGGTGGTCAAGCAGGGCAGCTAGGCCTTGGTCCTCAAACTGGATTGTTCTCATGTGTCCCTAATGGATCTGACATGATGCTTCGCAATATCCCTGTTTTGGTTGTCCCAGCTGATGTGCAACTTGTTGCTTGTGGACATTCTCACACACTTATTTCTACAAGAGATGGAAGAATTCATGGATGGGGTTACAATAGCTATGGTCAAGCTGCTAATGAGAAATCCACATATGCTTGGTATCCATCACCCGTTGATTGGTATGGTATAGCTAGTTACTGCCTTTTGTTTTTCGAGCATCATAGATAAAAGTAGTTCTGCTGAAATAATTATTCATGTAGGTGCGTTGGGGAAGTACGGAAACTGGCTGCTGGTGGTGGCCATTCAGCTGTGTTGACGGATGCATGTTCCTTGAAGGAGTTGTGCGAGTTCAGGATAGCAGACACTCTGACTCTGTCAAATGCTTCTGAGGTTGAGGATATCGCGGCCAGAACTGGATCAGATGCTCTAGTACGCTTTTGTGAAAGATTAAGGTATTGATTTTGCTCAAGAGTTGTGGCTCTTTGGATAGGATACATCATCCCTGCCTATTGTTCTCCAAAGTTGTTTTTTGTCTAGCGCCTACTTGAAGTTCATTTTGTCATTCCTGTTTCTAAATTATTTGATCAAACTTACTTTTAGCAAATTTTTCATCTTTTTGCACCCTGTGATGGAATTTTTTATCCTTTAATCCACTTCCTTCTCGAACTAGACACTTGTGAATGAAGCTGATAAGAACCATCTCTATTGTCTAGTCATTGGAATAAATAATCCGGAACATAATGCTTTTAAATAATTGTTAAAGCTCTCATTCTCTGTGAACCACCTTCTATATATTTTGTGGCTGTACCAAATTTTTTGAAAACTCTGAGAACCAACCTGTAACTAGGACTTGGGTTCTTCTTTTAAGCTCCTATACTGCAAAGCTCGCTCTTATACCCAAAAGCTCAACCCATTTTTTTCTTTTTCTTTTTTAGTTAACAACCAAGATCTCAACCGAGCTCAACATTTGGAAATATCCATTGCGTTCATATCTTAGGCTTACCCAGGATTTGATAGGGGGCTGTAAAGAGCTGAGCCAAGCTGAGCATTGTGCTGTTAGGCTTCGGTCAGCTAGGTATAGATGCTGCTGGCACTTGTGAGCTTGGCTTATGTTGTTTAGGCTTGGTTTCCAACCTTTTGATGGAGCATGTACTTGGCTTGTTTGAGCTAGCCTCACTACTATGGAACAATGAGCGGCTAGCAGTGTTCAAGGAGAAGATGACTGTCATATCAAACCCTCAAACCCAATCATGAATTATATATCCTTTTTTTTTTTTGTTTGATAAGTGGAAGCAAATTTACAGATCTTTGACTATTAAAGGTTGAAACGCCTTCCCAGATTGAAAGTACACTTAGAAGACAAAATGTGAAGGTTCTTACATGGATCAATGTGGACTAGATCTGCCATTCGCTATCTTGTTCAAGTGTGGCTCATTCAATAAATATGCTTGAAACTTAGGCTTGAGTTTGGCTTGTTTAATTGAATGAATGAGCGTGAGCAAGCTTTTAATTGAGCTGAGTCTGAGCTGTTTGTCAATGGCTGCTAGGCATTTGCTACAAACAATATTTGAATTGAATGTTATTTTTGAATTCAGAAGTCCACACTGGTTTTTAGTCTTATTGTTTGAGTTAAATGAATATAAAGGATCACTGATCATCTGGTCTTTGCTATTTGTTTGTTTGCATGCTTATCTATTTTTTGTATAGTTTTTCGGGTGCAATTGCAACACAGCGTATCTTCTCAGCCGTGAATTTTGTTGCAAATTATTTCCAGTAGATATTCATTACACATTCATTTATGCTATATATTATCTGCTTTCATTTCTTCAATTTTACTTGCGTACTTGTGATGAAGCAGCCGTGTAAACCAGTTGTTGTCTCTACAGGGAACATTTGCTTGACGTTGGTGATTGCTGGTACGAAGAAGATGAATTTGAAGAGGTCAGGAACTGAGAATACAATCAAACTGGTTCCAGTATTACCAACTATCCTGTTGTTGTGTATTAACTGTATATCATCTCTTTATTATTGATCCAAGAAGGCAGACTCGAAAAACAGGGGAGCTTTTTGTCATTAAATTATCAATGACTGATCATTGAAATCCTGTAATCTTGGATGTGTAGTTAAACATTTGTAAAACCATCATTAGTCCCTGTACTTCATATTTGACAGCATAATACCAGGTGTTCATATTAATATTATGTAATGAGGTCGAAGCTTTTGGATTGGTACTTACCATGCTTTGTTTGTAAGAACATCCATACGTGTTAGAATGAACGACTTTTTCCTGAAAACTATCGAATAGCTAAGCTGCATTGCATAAGTCTTAGAACATCCATTTCCATGCACATACAGTCATAAAAACAGTTTCAAATTCTTAATACAAGTCCACATGGTCGACTTCTTGGTAGAGAGTTCACAATGGATATATTAGGGTTTAGGGGTCTTAGCTAGTTTTTTCTACACAACAGAATGGAACTTTACTTGCTATCTTGCCCTGCCATCCTTACTGTCTTACATGGCGGAGCAACCAGGGCGGCATGGGTTGATTGGAACTTGGGCGAGCTTCGGCTCCATCCTCTTCGATTGAGACTCCCCCTCTTGATTGGAAAGCGTCACTGCAAATTTCTTGGTTGTTTGTTTGATTTTTCTGATAATTCATGTATTGCTTACATGTCACTAATACTCACATAGAACTGTGCTGCTGTCAATGGTGCATGCATTCAGGTCTCAAAACAGAACCGAATGTCCCAGAACCCGTTCTGAATATTAAGGTCCTCATTTTCAACCCGAATGCCCCATATCAAGAATGCACGATGATATATTGGTAAATGTATGCATGTGTGTGTGTGTATATATAGAGAGAGAGAGGATACCCAATTGTTAGAGATGATGGTGGTGGTTGCTGTAAAACATTAAGGTGAATGAGTTTTGGCCCAGGTTTTGATTCTCCCATTGTGTGCTCTCTTCCATGTCTTCTCAGTCTACTTGATCTGTATTCCGAGTGTAGGAGATATACATATACATAAACACAATACTCATTGCAGATGATTATCTTCAAAAACACAATTTATTGATTTCAAGCTTGAAAGAGTGCAAAGAATAACCAAATAGCTTTCTCGTGCCTTCTTTGTTAATCAAGTTATTTTTGTTCGCGAACACATTGATCAACAAACTTAAGGTTATTTAGAGTTTGTGAAAACACATAATGCTATGTTAGTAGGAAGGAAGAAAGAGGGGTAGAAGGAAAATAGGAAGGAATGAACAAATTTCTTTCATTCGGTAGAGATGAAATAAGGAAATAAAAGGTAATAGGAATAATGAGTCATCCTTCCTTCTTTACAAACTTCCATTCGCCCAAATATGGGCAGAAGATAAGAGAGAAGATAAGTTAACATATTATGGAAGTTTTAAATTACTATATTACCCTTCACATACATTTAATAAATCCCATAAATAAAGTAAGGGATGAGTTTAATGGTAAAAACAACTTAAAATTTTATTTTCCTTTTATGCCATTGATCAAATTAAAGTGTCAATTTTTTCCATACTCTTCCATCCAACTGAACAAAAAGAGGAAAACGATTAATCTCTTCCCTAGAGATGTCTCAGTCATTCTTTCTTCTCTCCCTTCTATTCAATTCTTTTCCTTCCTACCGAACGGAGCATAAGGTTTGCTTGGTTTGTAACTCTAGAAGCAGTTAACAAGAATTCAGAAAACAGAAAACTGTTTTCATAAAATTATAAAAGACTGTTCTCTAAAAACAGGGCTTTTTATAACTGAGTTTTCACAAAACAGATTTTAAAAAATGAACTAAATAGAGTTTTTTGTATTCCAAGAACAGAAAACTATTTCTATAGTTACAAATCAAGCAAGCCCCATTTATATGAAAATAGGTTTTTTTATAACTGACTCTTCAGAAAACAATTTTACGAAAACCAAGTATAATATTTTTTTTTTGGTCTAGTTTTTAGTTTTCTGAAAATAAAAAATTATTCTTAGAGTTACAAACCAACGAGGTCCATATATTCTTATCATTGAAATTATTTTAAGCCCAAGCCCAACAATCCTTCCTTTCCAACAAAAAAAATAAATAAATAAATAAACAAAAAATACGGCCAGACCCAATTTGATATCATTTTCCCTTTTATAAAAAAAATAGCCCAGTCCATTCATTAAACCCTAAGTCCATTTCGTGCAATCAACCCCTGAAAACTACTGCTAATCAAAGGGTCGTCGTTCGATGTCTCCTCACTCCTCAGGTATTTATGCTCCTCTTCTTTCTTTAATCAGTATTTTAAGGTTTATAATGACATATTTGTTTTTATTTTTATTTTATTTTATATACTATTTGAAATCATCTTGGGTAACTTCTTTAGTTTGATGGTCCTTCAACTACTAATGTCCTAATTTATTTCCCATAAACTCTAGGTTTAATTATCGGGAAAAAAAAAAAAAAAAAAAAAATTAGCTTAGTAAAATGAGTGAAATCGAAAAAATGTAAGTATGTTTTCGAGACTCTTCATTAATTAAAAAAAAAAAAAAGGGATCTAGTGCATATTGGAGTTACAGATCTAGCATTTTTTTTTTTCGTGGGATCTCCTAGTATATTGTTTGATTTATAACCCCAGTATTTAAAAAGGATTTGTTTCATATGCAACTTATATTTTTTTTAGTACAATTTTTGTACACAAAATGATAAGGTCATGATTTTATTTATATTATTATATTATGAACAAAATATTATGGTCTACTATTTTTGTAGATGACTAGTTGATTGGTTGATCTGATCAACCTAAACAACCTTCCTATGTTTTAATTTGTTTGATGAGAGATAATTCAATATATTATTTTATACTTGAGTTCCATTTATCTAAGTTAAGTTTTTGAAAATGACATTACACTCCCGTTTGCATGCTACTGTACTCAGAGCAAAGTGGTGCAGATGCAGGTGTGTGAGCAGCAGTAGTGTTCTTTGATCAATTCTTTTGATAAACTTGTCCTCCCATAATCTACTATTATTTTTATTTGCGAATAAAATCGGCACCCTGTTATAATCTGTATAGAAATGTGGAAACTTTTTAGATAAAATACAAGTTCTATTATGGAATTTTGTAAAAATTATACAAAAACTGAATTAACAAACGGATGTTATGTTATAGATCCACAAATATTCACCCTAACAACCTTTGGATTGATTACTATTACACAATAATTGTTTTCTGAATGAAATCATACCTTTTAATTTTTTTATTCTTTAATTTTCTTAACCTAGCCTAAATTTCGGTTTTTTAAACATTTTGGAACCCCTTTTTTTTTATAAAGAAATTGAAGAGTTAACAGAAATATATATATATATCAAAGCAATTGGCTTTGACAGTTCATATTGAAACCACAGTTTTGAAAACTTCACATCTCAAATTTCTAATTTCAAATCTTCATTTTAAATTTGATAACTATCAAACTCATACAACAATTTAACTCTCAAATTTTCAGAAATTATTTACCAAAAATGAACCACATATATACATGAGCATATCTGAAATTAAGATCAACTATCTCATAAAGTTCCAATTGAAATCACATTCTTATTGACATTCAAACTCCTTTTCAAGATTAGAAATGCAAGTTTTTAAATTCAAGTTGAATTAAAACTCATGTAATGAACAATCCCAAAACAACATGTCCTTAACAATGGATATGAACTGAACTTGGGAGCATCCAAATGAAATTCCTTTAAATCATATTCAATCCATGGGCACATAAAATTCACCCAATTCACTTTTATCCACCAACTTCATGGAAACATGTGAGGAAGTGTTTTTAATAGTAGGACCCAAGACACTGTCTTATATATTATCTCATATATTTACTTGTTTAGTTGATAGAAGACGAATATTTGTATTAAATGAACTCTCACCTATTCATAGCCACATATCAACTCTCTATAACTCTATGTTCACAATTCTACTAATGTCTCTAATCTTCTGTAATATTCTCCGGTCTCTACTCTACAAATATTTTAAAATTTCTAACACTACACAATTCTCTACACTGCTACTCTGAAAGAATCTAAACCGTATTCAATTTATGGTAGCAGCAAGACATTTTTTGGGCAAGCAGTTTTGTAATATTTTTTTCCATCCCCGTTTAGAATACCTCCATCTCCATCTCATAACCATTTACTAAACAGGGCTGGCGTGACGGAGCGAGGTGGATTCTGTAAAGAATTTTCATAATTGGAATACGAATCTAACGAAAGTAAGTAATAAAACAAATTTTCAACTATTATAATAATTTTTTTTCTCTTATGCTGATTAAAAACAAAATTCAATTTCTCAATGGAAACTTACAGCTAAAATTATTATTGGAACATATATATAAAAGAATATTTAGTGAATTGAATAAAATAAATTAGGATTTGCTTAATATATATATGTACCTTATATTATTGAATAGAAAATAACATACAAGGGCAAAATTGTAATATATTATTATAAACGGATGGAGTAACCTTTTCTCATCATCCCCCATAACCATGCGTTTTTCAATCCTAATCCCTATCTCCGCCCCCAAAAGTATTCAACCATTTCAATAACCGTTCTAAACAGAATGGGTGAGACGGGTGCCATCGGGATATTTTGCCATCCCTAGTAACTAGGACACGGGTTCTTCTTTTAAGCTCCCATACTGGAAAGCTCAACCCATGAACTTTAAGCTCTTATACCCAAAATGGCTCAATCCATTTTTTTTTTTTTAGTTTAATAACCAAAAGCTCAACCGAGCTAAACATTTGGAAATATCCATTGCGTTCATATCTTAGACTTGCCCAGAATTTGATAGGGCTGTAAAGAGATGAGCATGCTAGGCTTTGGTCATACTAGTAGCGTTCCAGTAGAAGATGGCTGTCATATAAGCAGAAGCAAATTTACAGATCTTTGACTATAAAAGGTAGAAACCCCCCTCCCAGACTGAAAATCCTGTAATCTTGGATGTGCAAGTTAAACATTTGTAAAATCATCATTAGTCCCCATACAGTACAATCATAAAACAGTTTCAAATACTGTACCTTGTTTTGTCTGTAAGAACATCCATAAGTTTTAGAATGAACATGACTTCTTCCGAAAACTGGCAAATAACTAAGCTGCATTACATAAGTTTTAGAACATCCATTACCATGCACATACAATCATAGAACAGTTTCAAATTCTTAATACTGGTCCCACACAGTCAACTTCTTGGTAGAGAGTTCACAATGGATATATTAGGGTTTAGGGGTCTTAGCTAGTTATCTTTTCTACACAACAGAAAGGAACTTTACTTGCTATCTTGAAGCTCCTGCCCTGCCATCCTTACTGTCTTACATGGTGGAGCAACCAAGGCGGCATGGGTTGATTGGAACTTGGGCAAGCTTCGGCTCCATCCTCTTCGATTGAGGCTCCCCCTCTTGCTTGGAATGCGCCACTGCAAATTTGTTGGTTGTTAGTTCGATTTTTCTGATAATTCATGTATTGCTTGCATGTCACTGATATGACTCTAAGGTCCTCATTTTCAACCCAAATGCCCCATTACATTCAGATAGTGATTGTAGTCCTTTGTTCATGAATGCATGATAATATATCGGTATATGTATATATGTGTGTATATATACGTGTGTGAATATATATATATAGAGAGAGAGGATACCCAATTGTTAGAGAAGGTAGTGATGGTTGCTGTAACATTAAGGTGAATGAGTTTTGGCCCAGGTTTTGATTTTCCCATTGTGTGCGCTCTTCCAGTGTCTTCTCATTCTCCTTGATCTGTATTCCGAGTGTAGGAGATATACATAAACACAAGATTCATCGCAGTTGATCATCATGAAAAAACCAATGTATTGATTTCAAGCTTGAAACAGTACAAAGAGTAACGAAATAGCTACTCGTACCTTCTTTGTAATCAAGTTATTTTTGTCCAGCAATGCTTTTTCCTGCCGCAAAGTGGAGTGTGAGTTCACATAAACATTTAACAGCATTATATTGGTTTCTCTGAACTCTGAAGTAAACTGTTAGTAATCCCGTTTTAATCTACGTCTGCTCAGGTAAATGCAAATTAGAAAGTTATTTTTGTACAAATACATCAAATTGCAGTATTCATTACTTTGTGATTCTCCAAAGGATTTGTGTGTGTGAGAGAGAGAGAGTATGGCTTGCTTGGTTTGTCACTCAAAAAACAATTATTAAGGGCTCAAAAAATAGATCTCAGAAGCGGTCAACCAAACAGGTTTTTGTACAAGATGAACTCCATTAACAAATTAGCCCTCTTTGAATGTGTCTACCACATATGGATGGCTGGGCGGAGTTAGGATTTTATTTCAGAGGGGGCACAATGCACTTGTTAAATTTTTATTTTTTTAATAAATATGACAATATAATTTTTTTAAATCAAAAAGGCAAATAAGAAAAAAATAGTTGTAAAAAATATGATAAATAAATACCGTAAAAAAAATATAGTTACAAATATAAGAATTAAAAAATTAATTAATAATATTTTAATTAAATACAATCACAAATGTCATTGACAAAAAGAAATAAGTTTAAAAAAATAGAAAAATACATAATTATACATAAGTGAAAAAAGAATTTTTTTGAAAAAGGAAACAAAAATTAGAAAAGGAAAAATATATTGTATATTTGAAGAAGAGATATATGATTTTTTTTTTTTTTTTTCAAAAAGAAATTAAAAGAATTTAAAAATTTGAGGGGGGCACTATTTAAAATTATCATGTAAGTATATATATATATCCAAAAATATGTAGGTTGGAGCAAAGTGAGGGGGTGCTCGTGCCCCCTCTGGGCCTTAATTGGCTCCGCGCCATTGGCACTCTACTCCAAAATTGTCGAAGGACAACGCTTTACCCAGAATTCAGTTCTTGAAAAAACATAAATGCCATAAGAGAGGCTTCTATTGTCAGCAAGAAGAGCTTGAATGGCTTGGGACCTCCCATCCTCTTTCATTTGTCCACTGCCAGGCCTGTTGACTTCACGTACAGCAGCTTACTCCTCTAACCTAAAAGTGTAAGTGAGGGAGAGGCTTCTCATCAAATGAGGTCTCCGGATTAAGAGAGGGAGCCTTGTGGTCTCATCAATTAATGGTGCCATCTTTTGAGTTTGCCATGGCACGGATTTGATGCAGATATGTTCGATCTTTCTACAAGAAAAAACATGTAACATAGCAGTCTGCTAGCAACCAAACAGCAACAGCTGATAACCGTAAATGCAAGCAACCAAACTATAGAAAACATATGGGAGACAAGGAGGACATCATGAGAACAAGCCTCAAGAGATGAAGTAGGACCCATTAGCTCTAAGATCACGAAGGATAGTAGTAATGAAGAAGATGAAGATTCTCAAGGAAGATTAGAATTGAGAAGGAAACAAAATCAATCAATGGAAGTCAAAGTTTTAATTAACGATGAAGTTGGACTGATTAGCTCGGGAGAATCGCAACAAAGGAAAAATATGATGGAATTGGGTTTCCATGGCTGCTAAACAAAAGCTTGCGCATTACTCATGAGGGGTGTTGAGAAAGCACGTGATAGGTTTGCCAAAGGGTGAGCAACTTGTCTAGAATAGCCATCCAAGGCACAAAGTTATGCTTGGGAATGCAAGGTTTAAACACAAGCAATGTGCTGCCAAGAAATGGAGGGGAAAGAGGGAGAGACTGAAGAAAAGGGTGAGAGGAAGGGAGAAAGATTTTGAAGGGGAGAGAAGCCATTGAAAGGAGTATGAGCTGTTAAGGAGATGAGGAGGGTGACCAACATAAGTATATCTGCCCATGCAGGAATAATCCACATTTAAACTTTTAGGTCAAGAATGATTGAGATGGTATAAATATAATGGAATTGTCAAAAGCTATTCTACATGGACTTAGGTATGTGTTAGGAGTGTGTACACATCTAAGCGGCCGACGTGTCAAATCTGAAGCAAAAGAATACATGGTGTTTAGGAATTCAGAGGGTTCTATCACTCATGCACTCAAAAAATATTTTTCTCAACTACTGTAGCTGAGGTCTCTTGTCTTCGGATGGCATTTTGGTGGGCTCAACACTTACGATGTGAGAGTCTTTGGTGGGATGTGACGCTAAGACGGTGATTAATACGGTTTGTGGGGGTAAAGCCTCCTCCAGTTGAACTTTCAGCATTAATTTTTGATGTCAAAAATGTTTTGAGTTGGTTCAAAGAGGTGACTATTTCTCATGCTAGGAAGGAAGGAATACAGTGGCTCATGAGATTGCCAACATTTCAAAGCGTCTAATTCAAGATGATATTGTTTTAGAGTGTGTTTCTGCTCATATTGTGCAGCTTGCCTAGGCTAATTTTGTTTGTGTTCAGTTGTAATCTTTTTGTGTTTGTCAAAAAAAAAAAAATAAAATAAAAAATAAAAAAAAAATTCACATTACTTAATATTTTTATTGTATATTTTGGACTAAAATAATGTCTTAATATATCATAAGTTAGTATAGGCATTTCATTCATTTTGTAAACAATAATATAATGAGATTGAGTTATATGACATAATTTTTAATGAGATTGAATTATATGTTTTCATCGTACATATGTCTGTGCAATGCGTGTCTCACCTGCTTTCGAAAAGTACACGTAAGGATAACTCATTCACCATCAAGGAGGATAAGGGAGGTAAGATAAACATTTCTTCCTAGGTAGGAGCTAAGAAGGAAATAGTCATTAACCTGAACATTGAGGGGGCCAATGGGCAATCAATCATCAAACTATTGGGAAATGCTTTCATCATTACCAACTTTAACCTTTATTACGGGTCTTGGTAAATGCCTGAGCTGAAGAACCTTTTCTAAGTACATGAGCTGTCAGTAGGGCAATTTTTTTTTTTTTTTTTTTAGTTAAAGGATAAGCTTGCACCAAAAGCAACAAGGCATCCATCAATGTCAACATGCCAAATGACTGTTTTTCTAACTCAGTTGATTCTAGTCCACTTGGGCCAAAATTAGTTGGGAAATTGAGCCAGAACTAAATGTGTTTCAAATTCTTATTTCAATGAGAGATTTGGCAAAGCTTAGACCACCTAGACATTTTTGAGCACAAACTGAATCCAAAGAACCTAGCCTCTACCCTTGTAGCTATTTGAACCGGACCAAATGAAGCTTCTAATAATGGAAAGTACAGACTTAGTAAGTTGCAATTTAGGAAGGACGGATATAGTGGGGACACACAAGTACGGCAAAATACGAATATGGTGATAATATCATACCACAAAATTTTAAAAAACAGAACATGAATGCGGTAGGAATGTCAAAAGATAATAATAAAATATATTATGATATATGTATAAAATAATAATTGTTCACTTATTTTGAACTTAGAGTTATGTTGTTGTTGTTGTGTTTTTTTTTTTTTTTTTTTCCTAAAACTTATATTATTATTTTTTAATAACCAATAAATATTTTAAATTGCATTGAATCTCATTTTTTTATAAAAATAATTACAAATCTTGAAGTGTCCCAAACATGTCCTTGGCTCTCTGTTGTGTCGGTGTGTCTCAATCATGTCCAATCAAAAAATAAAATACTCAAATTTTAGGGTACTTCTAACTGTGTTCGACATGTGTCCGCATGTAGGATACTGCCACGACATCTTAGAAGAAGTGTCTGTTTCCTAACTTACAGCATACCGGCATAACAGAGAAGTTTGCTTGGACCAACTTCTAATTCTCATAGCGATTTTTCCTCAAGGCATTTACAATCAGGAGGCCAAGTTTTGAGAAAATTAAAGGTACACCAAGTGTTGATATGAAGGTTGCCTACTTCACATTGAAAAAATGAGGGAATGGATTGTTGGGTGTGGAAAGGTCAACACCAGAGAAGATGACACTGTTAACTTGATTAACAGTGATCCAGAGAGTGAGCTGAAGGTGTCAAGGCAGTTCTTAAGGATTGAGATGGAAGTGATATCCCCATGGCCATGGGAGGTGCTAGCTTTTCTCAAGGGGCCTTAGGCCAAAAAAAATAAAAAGTGACCCTTTCAACAATATAAATAAAAATAGTCACAACTCACAAACAAAATATACAAATATATATAAACAAATTTATAATAACAAAAGTTAATAAAACTAAAAAATAATTTTTTTAAAAAAAATCATAGAACCTGATTTAGAAAATCCAAATTCAATACTCCTACAAAATTTTTAGTAGAATAAAAGTGCATTCATATTGAGATTATATAATGAGTATGGAGTGGAGAAGGAAGACAACTGTAAACTTGTAATGAGATAGGAGGAGGAGAAGATTTGTTGAAAAAAAGAAGAAGATAAAAGATAAAAAAGAATACATATTTAATATTTTAACTTACTCACAAATTTTTTTTTTTGTGCTAGTGTAAAAAACGTGAATGAGAGAGAAAGAAAGAGGGGAAAAAATATATTTAATGATACAAATTTTTGAGCACAATATTAAATTTATATATTGGTTAGGATGTACAAAAACGTGAATAAGGAGTAGGAAAAAATATATATATATATATATATATATATATATATATATATATATATATATATATATATATATTTGGGGCCAAACATAAAATTCGAGGGAGAAGAGAGAAAACTAAAAAGAAGAAGTTATTTTAGGATATGATATTTGAGAACTATTAGAAAATTCGAATGAGGGAGGAGAGAGAAAAGAGAAAAACAAGAAGTTATTTTAGGATATAAATAGTTGAACCTAATATAATTTTTTTTATATTTATTTTATTTTAGTAATATTAGGAAATAATTATAGTATAATTTAATATAAGAAAATTTTAAATATTTTTGGGGCCTTCTTATTGGCTGGGGCCTTAGGCAACCGCTTAAGTCGCCTAACGCTCAAGCCGGCCCTGGAGCCGCATTTTCTACACGTCCAGTGTGGGAGAACTGAGGATTGATTGCAATGGCTTTGTGAAGGATATGAGAAAGAATGTCCATAGCTAAAACAAAAAGAAAAGGGAAAGAGGGGCCCCTTGCCTTAGCCTATTTGGACACATATTTCTCGGACATAGCTATGAGATATACGCCAGACACTTTTGGATAGACATATCCTTAAAAATCACATTCAATCATTTAATTATATTATATTATTAATTTAAAATGAGTTAAATGCGTATATTAAACACTATATTAGATAAAACATTATTTTACTTTAAAAAATAAAATAATTAAATAAAATGAATATTTAATGGTGTCCATGTGTCATTATGTTTAGAGATCTAACACATCCAATACATATATTGTGTCCATGTAACATAGGCCTTAGCCCCATGACACCCCTAAAGAAACCATGAAGCTTGCAATTGTATAGAAGATGGAAAATGCAGTGGTGGTGATCGATGCAGGTAAGGTCAAAAAATGGTAACGGAATCCCATAATCTCCATAGCATTCAGAATGAATTTTCAACTCAAAGTGCAGATTGTGGGATGGTGGATTTCATATAGTAAAGTCTCACTGATTTTGAGTTACGAAATTACGTCATGAATTCTTTGTTGAATAAATGCAGATTGTGTTTCATCAATGAGAGGGAACAATTGGTTTTAGCTGGTTTGACACAAGTTTGTTAATGCATTTGTGAAGCAAATTTCAAGAAGAGGTGTGTCGGAAATCGTTGAGTGATCAGAGGACTTGGTTCTAGCAAATTGCAACAAGAGATGCTGTGGGAAGTTTTTTTAAAAAAACCAAGGACTATGTTCTAGCTTAAGATATAACAGTATCACCAAGAGCATGGAGATGTGAGCAGTATCAAGGTACATAGAATTGTAAATTAAAAGACTAATCCAACGTACTTAGTTCGTATTCAAGTTGCTTAAAACATAAACTATTTTCTATATCGATCATCAGAAATCTTGCAGCATGCAATCCCTTGCACTCATTTAGGCAAGCAAAGTAAAATGCATTCCAACAACTTAACCAGAGGCATTGTCACTAGGAAAAAAATAGCAACAACAACAACAATAATAATATTACCTTTTTCTGCAGCTGCATGATGGATTCATTCATGAGTTGGTTCTGCATAGATGAGTGGCTAATACAGTTAGTATAAACTGAGAAATGTATAAATCTGATAAACTATGCTTAAAAAGTCACAAAAGCTCTCTACTATTACCGCCCGTTTTCGTACACGCTTGAGGGCAGTGTCAATCTGTTGCTCCAAACCCTGAAGCTCTCTCAGGCTTAAGGGTTCAAGATCTTCTCCCCCATAGTGCCTAAAAAAGTGGACAATATAAATGCATTATATATCTCCACTCTGTTAATTATTAGATGGATTTGAGAAACAGGTGGTCACCAGATAAAATGTGATAGCCTAACACAATAGATGAAAATCATGACCAAATAAAATTTACCATCTTTTGAACATTATTTATAACTTTGCTATGGTTGTGAAAATATTTTCCCAAAATAAGTTTGTATAGTTCCCTTTATGATGACCAGATACTAGGTTGTGAAATCCTCCCGAGACCTTGCAATGGCAGGAGCCTCGTGCACTTAGGCTAGCCCTTTTAGATATTAGGTTATGAAACTCCGGAACAGCATGCCATGCATGTGTCATGAAAGTGACTGAGACCAGATATATGTGATCCCTTGGTTCCCCACAGGAGCAAAATTGGCTGATTGAATGGATGTACGTTATGTGTTGTCACAAATGACATGAAACCAGTTATGTACCTTATGCTCCTCTGTAGGACTTCAGCTTTAGCCACGAGCTTGGGGTACTCCAGAGAGAGGCTTCCCTACACAGCATATCCACAGAGGGTCACAGAGTTCCTAACTATAGTTATTATTAATCAAAACTGCATTAAATCAACTTATGGAATGATTAAAACTCATTCATTACATTTCAGAGTTGACACAGACGTGAACTTCTGATTAAATTCTAAATGAAAAAGAGAAACATTGTTGCAATACGATCCTATTATCGATAGATCCACAAAAACAAGAGAAACCAGCAGGGGAAGAAATTTGCATAGGACTCAAGAATCACCGTATAACAGTGACCATGCCCAATGGCAAAGACAAATAAAGAGAAATTTCAATGTATGGGAGAATAAATACAAGACAGCTACTCATTAATCGTTTAACATTGGCCACACACACATACACACATATACATATTGACATATAGACCCTGTTTGGATTGACTTTTCAAACGCTGTTTTTAGCTTTTTGAGTTTGGAAGCCATCTTGAGTAGTGTTTGGCTAATTTTTTTAAAGAGTTTTTGGGTCCAAAATGCTTTTCTAAAAAGACGTGAAAAGCTAAAATGGTGTTTTAGTAACGCTTTGAGTCTTGGAAGAGCATTTGATTGTTGCATAATGCAACCAACTTTCTTTGACGACAGAGGTTTACACTCGGACGATGATAAATATTCGATATCATTTAAATAGTTAACCAAAATTATTCTTTTCTTTATTTCAATTCTCCTGTCACATAATCGGCAAACCACCATCCTGATCACGGTGACCGGCAAACCACATCCAACTATTTCAACATCGTCTTTGTAAAGGGAATTATGTCTTTCTAATGGGAATTAAATGGTGAAAATAGGACAATATATATGAAAAAATAAATAAAGAAAACAAATCTCTCCATCTTTAATTTTTTTTTTTTTTTATAATTATTATTCCATAAATTAAATTAGGATAATAGGTGAACTTGTATATAAAAGCAGTTGTATTTAATTTACTCCAACATCTGAATTTTTCAAAGCACTATAGAATCCTTTTAATAGAATTCAGTTTGTTATTTAGTTAGTGAAAAAAAAAAAAAAAAAAAAATCTTGAAATTCATGGTAAATGTGTTACAAATTTTGTTCTACCACAAATTATATGTTTATCATTCATGTTATTACAAATTATGTATTTATCGATCATGCATGAGATTCAGAATAAATATGAGACAGATTTTGTTTCATCACAAATTTCATTCAAGAGGCTATTGTGCCTTGGAATTTTAAGCATATGGTGAAAACAATTTATTTGACTCATTGAGATAGAATGGCCGCGGAGTTGATGTTTTGATAAACATCTTATTTTGTTGCTAGCTTTCACCAAAGGTTTTGCCAAACAGACAAAAAAACTCTTCTGACATTAAAAATTCTTTCAAAATACAATTCCCAAACACTAACACAAAAGCCAACAGAAAGTGATAGCTTCTGCTTCTCTTTTTATTCTATGTATAAGAAGAAGCGAAAGCTATATCAAATGGGCTCATAGTCTCCTAAACTGATTACCAAGATTATTAAAATACTTCCTTCCTTATGTTTTCTCTCCTATGTATCGAAATAAAGCTTTAATGTTCTTTGGTTTATATCAAAAAATATGCGACACAATTAATTAATGTTTATCAATGCACTTTTGTGTATAAATTTTCAAGGAAAAATAAACCGAACGAAGTGAGGATTTAGCAACCAAGGCCTTGTGGCCTAGTGATATATTATTTACCTCTTAAAGTAAATGATAAGAATTTGAGTCTTCGAAGTATCGACGTGGGTGTGTGTGTTTTCTTATCAATGAAAAGAAAAAGAAAAAGTGAGGACCAAGCAAGACCAAAAAAGGTGAAGACTGAACAAGGCTAAAGTTGTCCTCAAGCGAATTAAACTTGTTACTACTACTAATTAGAGGATGTGCATCAATCTCGTAAAAATATATATTAGGCAGAAATAAAATATATGGTACAAGGTCTGCAATGGTCCTCACATCCTATCAATCACCAAATTGACTAGGCTGCTGTCACTTTGAAATACAACCACATTGTGCAAGGTTAATTGTTTTCCTTCTGGCTGCAACAGTTTACTTCATCTAGGCAGAAAGAAACAATAGACTTCATTCAAACATGAATAATTATATTCTAACAAATTTCCCTAAGATGTGTCTAGCCAATGGGATTTGGATAGACCAAAGAGATAAAACTCCTTTGACCACACACCTCGGCATAGGAAATATTACGTAGAAAAAAAAACTTCACTGCACCAGTGATACCATGTCATCGGCCCTACGAACCAATCATATCTTCTTATAATTCAAAGGATCCTATCATTGTGTGTCATCATTTAATCACTCAGTGATACCACGTCATCAAAATACAAATAGCTAGGTCTAACTAGCATTGATGTTCAAACATATACAAGGATGCTACCGTGGCAAAAATTTCATTATCGATACTGTCACAATCAAAATGCTTTGCTGACTCCAAGTACATGGAAACTGACTAAAGAAGTAAAAAGCTTGGTGAAATATTCCTGAATCTTTGTTTAGATAGCTTGTTTAATCTAACTTATTTCCCTTAGTTGGATCTTTGAGGTTTCTGTTTCTGTTTCTAGTATCTCCCTTTTTGAGGGTATGCCCCTTCTTGATTTGTACATTTTCCTTCTTTTACAAAATTGTCTCACTTGCCCGAAAAAAGAATATATATGGTACAAGAACATTTCTGTGTTGACATGATTTCAATAGACAGGTCTGGAGATGTACCTGTGATTCAAAGTCAGTTGTAACAAGATGTTGCTCAGCTTGTGAGTACCTCTCATATCTTTCCAGAATCCTATCCATACTGTAGATAAAAAGAAAGTTTAGAATACATACATGCATCTTGATCAATCCATATGCATGATGAGGCACTGAGACCAAAAAGGAAACATAATACACTAGAGATTTTATAGTACAAATGAAGGGGAAAAAGTAATTTACAGGTAAGCAAAAAGTTGAGAAAAGTCGAACCAAAGATATGAAAGGTACATACTAAATCAAACAATATTAGTTAAAAAAAACAAACAATTTAGATAGATGAAATTGTTGTCAGAAAATATTTAATAAGGAATATGTCTCAAATTTTAATCTATTTCTATTTTAGAGTTGTCTTTTATTAGGTAATTTTTTGTTAGGCAAGTGTTGGACTCTGAGAAATTATAATCATTGTCCAAAAAGGACTTGGCACAGGGTGGTGTGGTAACCCCAATTCTATAGTTGGAGGCTGGTGATCTCTTGAGGGAGCTGATGGGGAGAGAGAGAGTCTCGTGGAGTGATACACGGGGAAGAACTCTGGGAAAAGAGTTTGTGTACAAGATCCGATGCTAAGAATTCTCTGTTATTGTAACATCTCTATGGAATTATAAGGAATTTTTTTTCTTATCCATGGATGTAGGTTGAGTTTGACCGAACTGCATAAATCTTGTGTTTCGTGCATGATTGCTTTCTGTTTTTTGTTGGATCTCCATATTCGTTCACTTATGATGTTCCCACCAGATTATCTTAGTGATAAACATAATAGATGAATGATAAATCAAATTAATAATATGTTTGGCGGCACTAAATTGACGCTTTGAATTTTGAATTGTAGAAAATTTAGTATAAATTTTAAACTAAATTTCCTTCAATTTCAAATCCAAAACACCGATTTGGTGCTACCAAATATAAAATAAGAGTGAAGAAGTAAAGGAAACAATTAAAAGGTCAAACAAGCATCCCAATAGGGAGCAAAACAAGAAGACAATAATTTACCAAAAAAAAACACAAGAAGACAATAGAATGGCAGTGACTTAGGGCAAACCAATAGACAAGAAAATAAACAAAATGAGCCTCACTGCTCAACAACAGCAGCAAGCCAAAAAGAGTGTGGTGCTTATACAAATGGGAAGCCAGGAGGAATTGTATCAATTGTTCCTACAAGGGTGTTCTTTTGCAGGGACCCAAGCTTGGTGCCTCACGGATTAGGGTTATGAAGGGCTGCTGCAACAGACCAATGGTGCTCAAATGTTTGTTGCATACAGGTTCAAAGATGAAGTTGCTCCTTCTAATTGGGGGCTCGTTGTGTTTCGAGGGATTGTGCGTTACCTCTTGCTGTGATGTTTTTCTTCTTGCTAGGAGTTAAGGTTGTATATTCTTTTTGTTGCCTCTGGCTCGTGTGTCCTTGTGGACCTCATTCTTGTACATTCTTATTTTCGTTTTATTAAAGCTTACCATTAACCTAAAAAAAAAAAAAAACAGAGCAGCAAGTCAAGCTAGCTGACTAACAAAAACTTCAGGATTCAGCATCCCTTAGGAGACCAGTAACCATCCCCGACCTAAAGACCACATAGCATTGTGAGACCATGGATGTCCCAAGTCCTTTCTATCTTCCTCAATAGAGAATTATCCTTGATAGAATCTATGCTATCTGGACTCACGTACGTCTATAGGGTGCGGGTGTATATCTAAACGTCAGACATATTAAATTCTCAAACCAAGGATACTAAGGACATTGTGAAGTATTTATATTATTTAATATTTATATTTAATTTTATAGAAAAAAATAATTTCTTTATGTGTGTTTAATATAGGCATTTAACTCGGTTGGAAACATTAACATAATAAAGTTGAATCATTAGATATGCTTTTTAGGTGTTATGTCCAACGAAAAATGTTAGACACGTGTCCCATAGAAGCGAGTCTACTTATAGTTTCTGTGATAGCATCAATTATGAGTTGAGGAGAGCTGCTTTAGGTCTGAATGCTCCTTCCAAGCCAAATGGAGCCATATTCCTTGTACACAAAGGAGGGTAGCAACTGAATGGCTCAAACCTATTCAACAAAATCTTAAAAGATATCACATTATGAATGGAGAAACTAAACCGATTTATAAAAAAATAAAGAGTATATACAAAACTGAAGTGGCACAAAAGAATCAAGTTAATGAATTACATTATGATGAGGTCTCAAAATAAAATAAATGTATCTTTTTAAGAATTTAACTTTTTAAGAGAATGAATTTTAGTACATATATAAATATTTGTATTAGTAGTGAATGAATTACCAAATATATTAGAATGTGACGTTATCCTCACTAGGTGAGGATCTAAGTATTGTCCCAAAAAAAATTTAAAATTTTGACTTTTCAACTGAGACATTTATTTTGAGACAACAAAAAATAAAAAGTTGTACATTTATTTTGGGAGTTAGAGAGTTTATATATATATATATAGTCCCAAAATTCAAGCAATTATACATATACTAGACGTTATGAAAAAGAATGATAGAACAAAGATTATGAAAATTAACCTTTCAAAAAAAAAAAAAAAAAAAAAAAAAAAAGAAAATAATCAATTGTGTTTTATAATCATCATGAATTTATGTCAGGAGGATTGATTACCATTGTAGTTTACTTATTGAGAAATTAAAGAACATTGCAGAAGTAAAAACAGAAACTTCACACACTATAAAATCAGTAATCAATATGAAAGAAAGATTAATAATGACACTTATTAGAGATAAAATAAGAGAAAGTAAGCTTAGATGGTAGTAACAAGAAAAGACCTTAAAAAAACTAGAATTAATAAGCGACAAGAATAATAATAGAAAAGAATTAAAAAAAAAAATCCATATTATTTGAATGGGACGACAAGGATGATGATGCTTGGAGAATTGACAGGACTAAACAAGGTTGAGATTAATGCACCTTAGCATATGGATAGGACTAGTAGTATGTGATGTAATGACATCTTTTCATAAAATGTTAAAGGGAAAAAACTGACATCTTTTCCTTTTGTTTTATTTTTTTAGAAATTCGAACTCTCCACCTTTTATTTGAAGGGAAGAGGAATGTAGAATGTAGAAGTCAATCATTTAAAAGAATTTTAGTAAAAAAAATAAAATATTGTGATTTAAAATTTCCATACATAGGAAAAGTTAAGAATATATATATATATATATATATATATTTCTTATGTATTAGAGATCCCAAGGTTATAAAGATAGAGTTGATTCGTACTCTTCCTAGTTAGTTGCAATATTAATAATTAAGTACAAAAAGGAGAGTAGAGAAGACTCCTACACTGTAATTTTTGTTTATAATAAATTAATTTTCTCATTATATATATAGGAAGTTTAGTGTTGGATCATGGATGTCCTGCATGTGAGAGCAAAATATATAGTGTTTTGAATATTTGAAATATATATATATATATATATTTGTTTAATTAATTTTTGCTTTTGTTTTCATGTGTTAACCTTTGTAGAATATATACACACACATATATATATATGACTGACAAATTTATTATTAGTCATTACACATCGGACAAACAAAAACGAATAGAAAAATCTCAGTTAAGGAAGAGATAACTACATTCTGAAAAGAATGACATGCTAGTTACATATATATATATATATATATATATGCAATCTCACATGAGAAAAGCATGCCACGTACATGACACGAAACTTTAGACTCTTTAGACCTCAATGGCTTCGTTTTAATCACCCAACTTCATCGTACACCCAAAATATTTAAACAAGTTACAAAGCATTCACAGATAAACATATATATATATTAATATATATATACATTCACAAGTAAAAATAATAAAAATGAAGCATGTACCCTTATTATATACTGTCAGTTTTCAACAGACTAATCATAAAACTGGACACAAAAACTCTATTTAAAATTTTCAGCTTCAACATCCATTTACTATATATATGATCAGTTAATGCACCATATCCATATAATAAATAAAACCACATATGAAACAGCAAATAAAGTAAATCTCATTTTCAACTTTTCCTTACTAAATCGAGATAGATCATGAGAATATATGTATAACCATGCCAAAGATGTCGATGTGAGACTCGTATAACTAAAGTTCAACACTGATTCTGAGAAATCTATGGAAGATATGTGATGTTAAAAATAAATAAATAAATAACCAAAAAAAAAAAAAAAACAACAACACAACACCACATACCCATATCAAAAAAATAAAAATAAAAATAATATTTGCAGGCCATTAACAGTTCAATAATGAAGAACAGCACATACCCAAAAAAAAAAAAAAAAATGTAATGTATATCAAGCCATCTGGGTCGTGAGGAGGTTAATATATATATGTATATATGAAGTCTAAAAAGTATCAAATCTGGGCAGTGAGGAGCTTAATATATATACCTGGATTCAGTGGAGTACTCGAAGAGCTTTCCTTTGGTAGAAAAGACCACCAAAGCGACCTCGGCGTCGCATAAAACCGAGATTTCATGAGCCTTCTTCAACAATCCAGACCTTCTCTTGGAGAAAGTCACTTGGCGACTTACCTTGTTCTCAATCCTCTTCAACTGAACCTTACCTCTCCCCATTTTCGGCCTTGACGATCTATAACTAGAAACCTAGGTTATTATATATATAGTAGTTGTAGAAGAAAACAATAAGAATCCAAGAAATCAAAAGGCCAAGAAAACCTAAATTTAGTTTATTTTTGGAGAAGAAACAAAGGAAGAGAGAGAAGGGTAGTTATGGGTTTTTTCCCATAAAGATGATGATAGTATGTGGCTTGAGAAGTTTCAGGAGTGAGTGAGTGAATGGTGCATTTATAAAAGCCCCATGTGTGTGTTGTACTGTGTGTGTAGTGTAGACATAATAGGAAGCTTGAAAACCAGTGTGGGAGAGAGAGAAGGGAAACCCATCTGTTTTTCATGGGAAAACCGGGGTGGTATCGAGATGCGTTGTCGAGTTGCCATTGGTGTAGTACTACTTAGTTGTTACTGTCCACAGGTTAATGGACAGTGCGTTGAATTGGTTAGGACATATGCTTATTGCTAGCTTTTGTTTGTCTTTTACTTGGGTTAAATTGCTTATTCTTTTTACCTGAATTTAATAATGTGGAATTAAAAAGGATTAGTGTTTTTTTTTAGGGTCATAGCCTAAGTGACATAAAATAGGAATGAGAGCGAGAACGAAGGTATAAAACAGTAGAATTAAGTCATAAGTAGTGAGAATTTAAATGAGAGCGTGCGCAGAACGTGAGAGTGGAAACACGCTCAGAACGTGAGAACGACACCTCATGAGAAGGATTGTATGACTTTGATCATAGCCTTATATTTTGACTTTTTTTTTTAGGGATGTATGCATACAGATACAGTACAACACACACATGGGGCTTTTTAGTTGAAAATAAAAATTTGTTTAGAAATTATATAAAACAAATAATTTTCGAAAAAAAAATATTTTTAAAATTAAAGTTTTCTAAATAATTTTTTTAAAATTATAGTTTTCTGAAAATAAATAATTTTTAATTGAAGTATAAAAAATCTGTAATCAAATAAGTTTCTTAATAGTTTTCAGATTAATATTATTATTATTTAAAGAAACCGAACTAACTAGATTGGAGTTCAAAATTGAACTCTTCATCAAATTTCTTTTTATAAATACACTATTTTTAAAATTAAAATAATATTAGTGTCTCTATTTTTTTTTCCTTAGTTGTAACTCACACTCTCACTTCAAAGAATTGTTTGCACCTAAGAAGAGTCGAACCCTAGAGTTGAAGTTTTAGGAGGCACTCAGGCACCAGGGCCAAGTGACTTACACTCGATCTCCTTTCCTTTGGATCTCCTTTCCTAATTTGGATCTGGATGGAAAGTGAAACAAGTATAAATGGATTGAGTATTAGCTCCACTTAATAGTTTAAGTATTTGAGTTCGCCAGCAAAACACTCAACTCGTTACAGTTTCAAACCCAATCCTTGATCCGGTACATGACTAAGCACCCTTGGATAAATAATTTAGAAAACAAATAATTTTCTGGAAAAAAATATATTTTTAAAATTATAGTTTTCTGAAAATAAATAATTTTTAATTAAAGTATCAAAATTTTGTAATCAAATAAGTTTTTTTAAAAGTTTTCTGATATTGTTACTCACACTCCCACTCCAAAGAATTGGTTGCACTTAAGAAAAGTCAAACCCTAAACCTGAAGTTTTAGGAGGCACTAGGACCAAGTGACTTACGCTCTCCTTTTCTTTGAATCCAGATGGAAAGTGAAACGAATATAAATGGATTGAGTGTTAGCTTCACTTAATAGTTTAAGTATTTAAGTTCACTAGCAAAACACTCAATCCGTTAAATTTTAAGACCTAATCCTTGATTTAGTAGCACTTACAAGTTTTTTTTAACCTAATTTTTAAAGGGGAAAAAGGTAAATTATGTTAACCTTGACTTTTTTTCTGTAATATTTAGTGTAAATATACCACTTTATAAAAAATTATACAGTAATTAAAATATCACCATGCTGGTGCGTGTTAATTGAGAAAACGAAACCATAACAATTGAAGGTGATGATCAAGACGACAAGATTATACAGTAATTAAAATATGACCATGCAGGTGCGTAAATAATTGGGAAAACGAAAGAGAATAGTGAAAGCATAACAATTGGAGTTGATCAAGACGACAAGATTAGTGAATGACATCTTGTCACTGTTAAATTGACATGAGATCTTGATTAGATGATTGAAAATAGGGACAATAGACGTAGGAATGGAAACTTCTTCTGAACCGTTTTTACTCAGATTTAATGTTGCAGTTTTTATTAGTAATACATTACTATATATATATATATATATATACACACACGGATGCTTGATTTAATGTTGCACCTTCTATTAAACCACTTAAAAAATTGAAATACAATATCATTACAATTTAATTTAATTGTGTTACAATCTTAAATACCACAAACTAAAGCGAAATGTAACACTGCATTATGTAAGTCAATTGAAAATAATAATAATTTTCCATTATTATTTTAAAATTTTACATTTTGAGGATCTTCTTCAATTGACTAATACATTACTGTTATTCTCATTTTTGGAGTGGAAATTTTTTCGGAAAATAAATTTATTTTAATAAATATTACTATTATTTAAAAAAAAAAATATTGCAATGGAAAATTTATCTTTTACACTAGGACATTGTGGGCATTGCCCAACGGGTGAAGATCCGCATCTGGATTGTATCTTGGTTGAAATGGAGCCACATAAATCTATAGAGTCCCATCACACAACACAAGTTTAGGACACCCTTCCATAACTTTTTATACATATACCAAACTTTTTTATTCATGTGAGAAGGACATGGAGTAAGAATTTTATTTATCATAATGATAAATCCCATTAATACCCAATAAAGTTTTTATTCTTGTGAAGAAAGACATAGGGTAAGAATTTTATTAATTATAATGATTAATAATATTCTCTTTTTCAAGTCTTTTAAGGGCACCACTAGTGGAGCATAAGGGGAGAGAGAGAGAGAGAGGGCCCCTGGTTGGTGCATGTCATTTTTCTTCTATTTAGACTTTGGTGGCCCGGCCATAAAGATATTTTTTCTATTATAATGCTAGGGCTCCTAGATTTTGGTTCAGTTCAATTTATTCACTTATATAATTTTGACACAAAGATAATACTTATTGTGTAAGAGATCACGAGTTTTAAAATCGAAACAGTTTTATTTATTTATTTATTTATTTTTTAACACCAAACAAGAGAACAATTTATTGAGAAAAAGAAAAACAACATTCTAGAGAAAGGGCGTCCAGAAGCCATTTAGGCCAGACACCCCACTCCAGATTGCCACAAGCGGCCAACAAAGCCGATTTGTTCACTAAATGAGCTACACCATTGACACTCCTAGGAGCCCATGCCAAAGAAGACCTCTTACACAGATAGAGAGAAGATGAGTAATATTAGCAAAAACAACATATAAGGACTCAATAGAAGATTTAAGCTGCATCACTGGCTGGCAATCCCCTAAATGAGATTATGTACACCTAACACTTCCTATAGTTTGTAATAAAATATATAATTAGGTAAATTGACCTTAACTTGGAAATAAAATATTTAAAATTTGAGATATCATATAAACTTGATCATTTTTAGTATAAAATTTGTCTTTCATTTATAAAATGAGATCTTTCAAAGGTGTCAAAGGCATTGCAAAATTCAGCAAAGCCAATCCCAATCTACAAAGTTATTTATGTAATTTCTCATGTGTCAATAATGTACTAATGCTAAATAATATATAGTAGTCATATATGTTTCATGCTTTAGGGAAAGCTTGGATCGAAAGAAAGGAGGGTAAAAGAGTGGATGGATTTGAAAGGAAACCTTATTTTGTGTTCCTTTAAAAAGTGGAAAGAAATGGAATAATTGAAGGGAGAAGAGGGGGACTTAATAATTGTCACGACCTGTACTAACTCTTATAGATATTGTTCGCTGTGTACACTCTCAGTGTTCATGATTTTGTTCAAAATGCGTTTACATAATTAAGGCCTTAGACGATTTGGGACATCACAATCATCCCCTTTTGGGATCTAGCGTTCTCGCTGACCCGTATGGGCTTGTGCACGCCACCATTTCTAGTTGGGGATCGGCTCTGATATCATCGTCACAACCTGCCTCAACTCATGTAGATATTGTCCGCTTTGTATACTTAGTGTTTATGGTGTAATACCCCTAATTTTAAAAGGATAGTCTCGGTATTTATTTATTTATTTTAATTGTATTTTTAATTATTTAATTGATTATTTGATTAATTACTTATGAGTTTAATTGAATTAAGTGTTACTTGAGTATTTGATTATGTGTCTATGTATTATTTGTATTTGTTTATGTGTTAATTGTTTAATTAGATTATGTGCTTAAATAGTGTTTTGATTAATTGTAAATTAAATATTTTCTTTTATTTTATTATTTTATTTTATGGTTATGGTTAGTAGTAATGGGCCAACCAATTGGGTCCCATGGACTATTTGGAAAGGAGGTTGGATGGGTACGGATTATTACCCATGGATAGTTGTGTATATATATATATATATATAGATATATATTATATACATATATAAAAGGGAAAGTAATTTATTAATTACTTTTATGATAACTTGGGTAGTAATATTTAATCTGATGTATAAGTTTTATATTTAAATAATAAAAATATACATAGATTTGATACGTATTATGTTTTAAGTTACTTTATAATATTATGATAACTTAAATATTATTAGATAATGCATTAATAAATAATGAGTAATTTATTAATTACTTTTATGGTAATTTGGGTAATAATATTTAATCTGATATTTATGTTTTATATTTAAATAATGAAAAAAATACATAGATTTGATACGTGTTATGTTTTAAGTTCCTTTATAATATTATGGTAACTTAAGTATTATTGGATAATGCATTAATAAATAATGGGTAATTTATTAATTACTTTTATGATAACTTGGGTAGTAATATTTAATCTGATGGATATGTGTTATATTTAAATAATAAAAATATACATAGATTTAATACGTATTATGTTTTAAGTTACTTTATAATATTATGGTAACTTAGGTATTATTGGATAATCCATTAATAAATAATGGGATGTGTATAATTTATTTATTTAATAAAGATATACATAAATTATATACGTAACATATTTTACTTATCTTTTTAATATTTTAATATATATATATATTTTTTTAAGTTAACTTGGATTGGGAAAAAGGTTAGGGTTATTTTATTTAGCCTATAAATATATAACTATAGGTTGTAAAAGGGGGATATAAATATTCATGTGATATATTCTAGAGAGAGAGAGTTAGAGAAGGAAGGAGGAAAATGAAGGAAGGA